GCCTTGGTCCTCTTCCCTCTGCAGGGAGATTTCGCAAGTGCGACCGTTGGCCAGCCCAACGGAGAGATAAATGAGACTGCGTCACGACGGACTGACCCAGGAATCTACCGTCGAGACAGGAAGGTCTAAACGGGAGCTATTCGGAGCTGTTCCTGTCACCGTCGCTGCCTTCGTCGCCGGAACGGTCCCATTCGTATATGCTACTAATCGGTGCGCACGCTATCCGCTCGTTCCGCAGAAAAGTTTATCAAGATCAGCTTGGATCCCCGTAATGCTTTGCTCGGCTTCGGAATTAATGAGATAGTACATCATCGGTCCGCGAACAGTGGAAAGTCGACGAAAATTACAAGTTACGAATAAGGGTTGAAGAAGAGATTCGAGTCTCCCTCTGCCGGGCCAGACGCGAGGAAATCGCTCGCTCGTTGCCTGCGGGCCCCATCGCAGCTCGCGGATAATCTCCTGATTGCGGTACCCTTGCCCGTGCTTCTCAACGCGGCTCGTCGGCAGCCAGCCAGCCGGCCATCGTGATTTTTTGACCGTCGATCGCGGCCGTTCTCGAGTAAAAGGTCGGAGCCGAGGCAGACGCGGCTTCCGATTATTCTCGGTGCGCGTAAGCGGAGATTCGACTCGCCCCAGGGAAGTTCCGCCACGTGAACGAGCTGATATTCGGATTTCCGCTCTAATTGACCACTATTGGCCGATCGGCCGGCCGGCCTGCCTGCCGCGCGGCATAAACGCGAAAATTGATGACAAGCCGGACTGCGTTGGAGCTTGGTCACTTCGGAAACCCTTTATTCGATCCTGTTATAGTTGGATGGCGCTCCGTGGATTTTCGAACGTCGGAATTTTCGGGAGACTTGAGTGCTTCTCCGCTTGGGAGGAGACGCGTCGCTTCTCGGCTAGGTAGTCTAATTTCACGTTTCGCGACTCCTTGATATCGCGATCGAGAGCAAGGACTTCGGCCGAAGACCCGATCCATCGTAACTCCCACCAGCCGTTCAGCGTGTGCAGATCCGGCAGAATTCTAGGAATTTTTGTTCTCTATTCCTCCTCAGGAAGATGGTGATCGGGCCGATTAACTCGAATTCGACCTTCAATCAATGCCTCATGATTGGACATCTTGATGACTTTTACTCGCCGAGGACCTCGGTGTCTGCGGCGTTTTTTCATCATTATCGTGGGACCGGGGAGCGAGCTGGAGCGCAGCGAATCCATTGAGCAATCATGGGTGTCGAGAAGGAGCAAACCCACGAGAAATTAATACGTCTCGATAAGAGCTGCGATTGCCGATGGCCCAACTATTTGCTGAACGACTTCAAGGAACCAAGATATCACCTAGGTGAGCGAAATCGTGCGGGACAGTTGGTCCGGAGGACGAGAGGAGAGAAACGCAGGAAGTCAGGCTCCGAGAATGAATATTTCCCTCGAGCTCCCGAAGGACCCCGAGAAGAACGAAATGGAAGAGTGAAGACCGAGCACTCTTTCGTCTACGGATCTCAATGAAGGTCAAACGAAGCTTTCGAGAAGAGGGAAAAATTCCAGTCCACTGTCCCTCATCGGTCATAAGCTAAAAATATTCTCATCCAATTTGAGTCACTCAGCAGCGAGGTACGTCGGCATCGTTCGCCAGAGCGGTGGAGGGAGCTCAACTCTTCGCTCATCCTCGAGATCATCCCGAGACGGTTGTTTGTCTATTCGGGATCTCGGCATGAAAATAATCATTTAGCTCGATTTCGTCGGATATTCGAGAGCGGAGTCAAGCTCAGAGAATCGCATCGGCTACTTCCCGTGTTGGTTGCTCGGGCATATGATACGGTTCTCTCAGAATCTTCTGGATCGTGCGGAGCTTGGTGTTCCCTCTTGGCCGGCGAGAGCTAGGGCTGACTGCTGAGCGAACACAACATAAAAATGATCAGTCGCGCACGCACAACACGGACCAGCGGCGCCAGAATCAGTCTGACAAACGAGCTCGCGCGCTTCGGGGGATATCTTCTGACGCTAACGTCATCAGCTCAGAATTTGCAGAGGAATAACTCCGTAAGCTTTCTGTCGCTTCCTTCCCCCGGCCATGAATGCCTCCGCTCTCTTCTGGCTCGCGCCCTACATTTTCCCTATCTCCCAGCCCCGGCTTCGTCCGTATCTTTCCACGCGGAACTTACACGACTTCCCCCATGTATTTTGTCGCCTAATGTTACTCATTCTCACCGAGAACAAAAGCTTCTAAAACAACAATAGCGCTACTGATCCGAGCGAGAGGACGAGCGGCAACGTCGCGTCGTCCCTTCTCGTGCGGTCATGAGCTCGCAAAATGTCCTGACCGTCGAACGGCGGGTCGCTCGGACGTCGCAATCAGCGGAAGGTCATTTGTCCCGGCCTTGCCTTGCGAAACCTGTCCGCGAACTTTGCAAACATAGCGCACTGCATCCTGCGTTCATTGCTCCGAGTTCGACATTACAAACATTCGACATAATGACGGAGAGATCCGTTAGTCCGTTCGATCAAGACAAGTAATCGCTGCGAATGAGAAAATGTTCGGTTTTCCGAAACAGAATGATATCGATTCCGGAGAGACAAGCCCGGAACTTATTCCCGCGACGGCAGCGGGATCTTGCCTCTATAAATTTCAATTTTTTCTCTGAGGACTTATTTCGCCTGAATTATTCCATCAGGCGAGACCGCTCTTGCTGCGTTGACTTCCCGAGGATGGAATACTTATTCTGAGCCGCTCCAAGAGAGCGTAGCGAGGAACGATGCGAACCTCGAGAACAGAAGCACCTTTACCGTGGCGGCTACCTGTTGCGTCCGCGCAAGGACTCACACTGATCGTATGCACAGGCCCGGGAAGAGTTTTGACACGAGTTTTTTTGTTGGACTAACGTCGAACGGAGCTGCATTCAATATTGTTCGGATATTGTCGTCAGGGAGAGCGACTACGCTCCCCGTCTTTCTTTCATACACTTCCCCCGATAGGAACAATGAACGCATCGAAGTGACATTTGTGTCTGTCAATTCGCTTGGCTCAGAATAAGTTGATGAAGTATTTCTTCGAACCCCCTCCTATTTCCCGCAGAGGTGGGGCTTCTCCCGCGTGACACTTCGCGGAGTCACAGGAGTTATGGAAAAACCTGTCCCCTCAACAGGTGCCGTCAGATCGGGCTAACACCAAAGCCGTTTTATGGTACGCAACGGAGCTAGGGACCATCGATTCTTTCGGCTTCATCCTGGCGTTTGCCTGATTGTCCCATTCTCGATTCTCTCAAATTATCACGAATTTCTCCGGTAAGGAGCGCATGCCATCTTAATATACGGAGTGCTTACCGTGATCATCGTGCGCCAGGAAAATCCGGGACTCGTATAGAAACGAGCCCGGAATTGGTTTCTGCGAAAAGTCCGAAAGGAAAAACCCGGAAGACCTGTCGAATTCAAGGCTTGGAAAAGTTCGTCGAGTTGCCGGGGAGTGTCCTGAAAAGTTTGTTCCGGTCCTACCTGTCCTGTCGCAGAGTGAGAATCTAGCCAGCCCACAGCTCTAAACTTGCAGGTGATCGAGTGTACACACTGTAGAAGAGTCTTTAGCAGGTGACATGACGAGAAGCGTAGCAGAATGTATGCTACGTTCATGTCATGCGGCCAAGATCGTCCGTGTTGTTGTCATCGTCATCATTCGTAATTTCCCGATCGTCTTTGATGCACCGAGCCCGCTCGAGAACACGCGAGCAAGCCATATCGCTTATCACTCGGGTCCGGTGAGCTAGTCTACACAAACGACACCACGCACAAAAATCACTGCACCGCTCAACGTGGGGAACACGCTGCCAAGCCGATGTGGACTCGACGGCCACGGAGACACGATCTCAACCGAGGTTAGAACACGACTGGCTATGGGATCCTCAAGGACGACGTACTCACAACCAGGTGGCGCTACAGTACGCATTCTTTTCTCGCCCGCCACTGCTGGCCGACCAGCTCGCAATGCTGCTTGCCAGACCATTGAGGTAAGTAGGCTGTCTCCACACAGGTGTACTTCGTTGACTGTTACAGCTTCCGGCCACCTACAGGTCGCGCAAAAGCTTCTACGTTCGATTCCAATGCCTCGGGGGAGATGATGCCGGCGCTATTTCTCCACGATCGTTCAGTGTCCTGGGCTTGAAAACTTCCGAGCTCATGGGCATACGTGAGCTCCATTTACAAGAAAGCGTCTCGATACTTCCAGATCCTTACGAATTGCGATGCTCGAATCGGAGGCGATACGTGGATATGCTTCCCCTGTGGAGGGGGAAGCGAACTCCTCGGCCAGGAGCGTACTCCAGCGTTGACGGCCTTGAGCGGAGCGTCTCGACTGATTCGGGCATGAGCATGAGCACTATTATTCAACAGTTGGAGAGCAATGATTCAAAGAAGAATTTGGCATCCGCGGGGCATACGCCCCGTGTAGCCTTCGAGGGTGGATGGAGAAGTCCAAGCATTGATTTCAGGAGAGGAAATTTATTCACCTTAATTTAATCCGCCATGCTTATCACTCTCTCACAAGGTGTACGTTGGGAAAATGTATCGTAGTTCTCTCACGGACTGAGTTTTCGGCGGCTTACAAGAATATACAGTACCTATACTGAGAATTCACTTGGCGCGTGCACGACCATTTCCGCCAATTTGAAAGTCTTCAATTTAAAATCGCAGCGATTCGAGTACAACAGTAAGAAAACTATAACCTCAAAAATATATCCTAAGTGTTCTGAGTATTGTTTTGCCCTACACCTCTCGCCCCTGGGAGGATCACCAGCGGCGGAGCTCCCGCTCGTAAAGCTTTCGCAGACAAACATCTTGGACAACACTCACCATGGCAAGCATGTCGGAAGGGGAGGGGGAGTCGCGATGCTCTCCGGATCAACACCAGAAGCGATCCGTTTCTGCCGCGCCGATCGGTGATCTCGGGAAGACACTTCGCGCGCATTTGTCTCTCTATTATCATTCTCTCCCGTAATAGTAATACCCCGAAAAACGAACTACACATCCTCGTTCTGGTCCTCCCACTTGATGCTATTCCAAAGAAGCACGTAGTTCACGTCGATTATCGAGTGTTTCTCCTCCGAACACAAATACCGTTGGATGAGACTCCTGCGGAGAAAACATTCCGTGTATGAGCTATCAACCGGCGAACGAAACCGAAACTTGCGGTGACTCTGGCCGCAATATCGAGGGGAGATCGTCGGGACCGGGACGCTCCCGACGTCGTTTTTCCTCCCTGGGTGATTACCTGTATCCTGTGCCGAGCGTCGCCACCATTTGTCCGACGCTGAAAGGGCAAATGATTCGCACCTCCTGCTCGAAGGGCCTGAACACTGTAATGGGTCGGAGTCCTTGGGCCCGCGCGATCACAACGCACCCCCACGTTGTGCCGGCATACAGCAGCGGATCATTCCCGTTATCCTGTATCGAGATCGCCGACACTTGACAATGAGAAGCTGAAACGCGACGGAGCGAAATTTAATTTTCCACATTAATCCCACGGATACCGCTCGGACGAGCACGCTCTTTTCAGAGGACTCGACAGCGAATCCAGCTAATTCGACGGTTCCGAGGAGCGGAACCGCGCCTGGGACGAGCTCGTATTTTTCCCGTTGTCCTCCATGCGCTCAGGAACTTTGAAACGAAGAAAAAGAACCACCTAAGGCCGGACTAAATCCGACTTCCAAGTGTCATCCATCTTCCTCAGGAAACAGTCGGTGAGTGCCCGGTGCGCTGCGTCACCCCCAGTCCGCGCGACCGTTCTCTCATCCGATCCTTCGTTCGTTCGTTCGTTCGCCCGCTCAACTGCCTCCCGCCATCCCACCATTACGGCGATTCGCGCTCGAGTCTGCTAACCGACTGACCGCCGCGAGGAGCAGCTATTTGCTCTGTCGCATTCTGTCGAGCAGAGTTTCTTGCCAGCGCGGGCTACCATCCCGGTAAATTCTCAAGGCACTCAGCATGACTTGAGAATTCGTGAACTCGGAACATGAGGCTCGCGGAAACTAGATCGCCCTCCTCGGCGATGCGCCCAGAGCGGATGCGGTATCTCCGTTCTGAGCGGCTAGCCGCAGGATAGGACAGAGGATTCGATGCGAGGAACAGAGGACCTCGGGAGCTGATCGGTCGTTTACTTGTTACTTACGTCGGATATCCTCTTCCAATCCAATGGACACAATGCTCTCCGAGCACGGAATGAGTTTCGAGCAATCGAGCTTGTGTGTCTTGGTCTTTTTCTTGCAATCCCACTGATGAATGAAGCTTCCTGGTCTTGTATACGACCAGACGACATCCGGTATGCTGGGCGCCGTTTCGATCGACGCCACGTCGCTTCCAGTAACTGTGTGAGACACGGTCCACTGATTGGTCGGAGAGCGTTTCTCGAACCGCACCACGCCGATGTTTCCTGCTTCGCAGCCACACCACAGGTCGATTCTGGATTAATTGATGCGAAACCTTCATTAGAAAGTTTCTGACAGCGAGGACAATTCCCCAGAAGTACCTATATCAGAATGTGAGCGAACGAGCTCGGCTGTTCACTCGAGATGTAAGCTCAAAATATCCCCAGAGAGTTTTCATTGCAAACTTCAAGCAGGTGCTGAGTTACGGCATTCCGAGCCCAGTCTGAAGATTGTTCTTCATTAAGTTGATTGTCCCACGGCGGCTCTTCCTTTTGTTCAAAGAATGGAAATCTCGGATTCCTCCTTGCTTGCTTACATGTCGGGATCGGCGGTTTTCACGAATTTCGTGTTGAGCACGGGACCGAGTTTGAGCAATTCATTGAAGCAGAAGGCTTCCTCGTAGATGAGGCTATCCATCTGGTGTGACAGTTGTTCCTCCTGTTCATCCTGTGCTTGTCGTACCTCGCACGATTTGACACATGTCCACCACACCTACAGAGGAGAATGTCAGCGTTACGCTCGTCCGTCCGGCCCTACGAATGCTTCCGTCACAGTCGTAGCTCCTTCGACAAATCCTTGCGGGAACGTTTCGGTTACCTGTCTCTTCTCGGTGACGACAGCTGCCATCATGTACTCGTCGTGAGTCTGATACAACGAGATGTGAGAGATGGCAGAATCGCATTGCACTTCGAGGACACGAGTGCGAAGGTATGTGTGCGCTCTGCATCCGAAATTTAGAAATTAGCATCTCTGAACAGCGATAATCCGCTGAGCCGATCCGATCGCCCGCAGCGTTCCTGCCATCGAATATGGAGGAAACGACTCCTGGGATCCGGATCTCCTGGTTCACGGGATCCGAGGTTCGAATCTCCTCCCGTTAGCACTGGAGTCGCATCGCTGACGACAACGATCTGAGAATCGACAGCATACGCGGCGATGTCCATCGCAGGAAGGGGAGGAGAAAAATAAATCATCGTTCCCACTTACTCGACAACGTGAATCCTGGATCGATTGTCTCCGAGCCATACGTTCGAGAGTCCGTCGAAACAGAGAGACGAGATCACGCAGCCGTTTTCCACCGGCACAATCTGAAAGAAAAACGACATCGGTTATGTAACCTTGGAGGAATAGGCTTTCGATCGCCCCGCTCGCTCTCTCTCTCGAAAGCCGAGGTCAGCTCCATCGAATTCCTTAGGACGTGAAATGCTCCGACAGCTCCGTTGTGATGATGACTTCTTGACGATGTCCGACACCGATCCGCATCAGGCTCATCGAGAACAACCAGCGAACGGTGCAGCATCGGCAAATCGTCGGAGAAGAGGATTAATTCGCAAACCGCTGGATCGATTTGTCTCAACGTGAGCGATCTGTGAAAGGCAAGCTATCGACGCTGGAAGAATAAGCCCATCGGTCAATACCACAGTCGGCCCGAGAGGAAGAATAAACAATCGAGGAAAAATAATCATTATTTCGAAAAGCAGAACAGTTCGCGGTCGAACAAAGCGGGATGAAATATCGCTGCCGTCGGTTGTGCGCTCTACGAATTGAACGCCGCGGCACGTCTCCACCATATAGAGCAGAGAGCACGAGTAGTCATTCGTTTAGTGCAAGGTCTCGGCGCACCTACTCACTCACGAGCGGCTGGACAGGTTTTTCCTTTTCGCCACTAGGTATGTAGTCCCGTCCAAAAACTCGAGCTCAGCGAGTGCTCATTTTATCGTGAAGTACATTGCCATTCGCGCTCATAACTCAATTTGGGGCACGAGATTTCATTCCATGGAACTGCTCGAAACGATCGCCAAAAGACAGCTGACCACTCAATTTCCTTCAGATCGCTCAAGGACTCGACGACCCCGCCCCTTTTCCATCCCGCGTGTTTTCCTCCGACTCTCTCCGGTTTCCGGATTCTCCGGGCCGAAGAGCCCGAGATTCAAAGGATGGAAGCTGAAAAGCGAATCCTCCTCGCGAAGGAAGCGTAATTATCGTGTTTGAGTTTTCCGAGCAAGGAACTTCTTGCAAGGAACGACGGTCCCTTTCTCCAGGCTCCAGTGAACCGATCAGACAATGTTCCGATGTTTCTGCGCCCTCGGGCGATCGGACCTCGGAGCAGGCAAACGAAGACGCTGAAGCAGGAGAATCGGTCCGGTCAAGCAACGCTGCGAATGCATCTGTCGTCTGGAGCCAATATCAACTTTCATTCGCCGTGTTCATCCGTTCCGGGCCGCGCAAGCTGCTCCCGACCTTGGTCGCCTTCGCTCCGAACGTTTGAAGGAGATATCGATCGAATGGGGACAAGTTGAACTAATCGCTAATTCATCTTCAAACGAGACGCTTCTGACTTTGGAAGCTCGGCCGCTTCCATAGGTATTGTCCGCCAATCCGATTTGGGCTAAGAAATTGAGTTCACAACGATGAGGCATCCAAAGGACGACGCCCACCCTGTCTATGCGATCGAGCGCTAGATTTCGGATAATCAGATGAAGTCGATTGCGACCGCTTCCGCAATCCTGAGCTCCTTGCCAGAGTCGTGATCATCCGCATGTTTCCACCTTGTTCCTCTCATTCTTTTGCCATCCGACGCGACCGGCCGGCCGACGATCGATCGACCGCGCCAATCGAAAGCTGCGTCGGAACCGTAGGCAAACATCACCGATCTCGAGTAGCTCGAGCGGACTTCGAGGTCTCACGGAAACACTTACGCGGAGAGCTATTCAGAGCGAGAGAGGGTCGTGGTGCGAAATTTCAATGCTGCAAGAAATCGGCGCTATGCACGGACTTTTAATAAGTGTAAGACGAATGAAACATTCACGTGTTTCAGGGGAATGCGTTCGCGCCGCGCTCTACGGCTACGGCTGCGAAACGAACGAAATATTGATCTTCAACGACGAGAAACACTCGCGGAGTCGAGTAGAACGCCTCCGAGCGGAATTTTTCCTTGAGCAATCCGTTTCTCTCGTACGCCACATCGGAAACCCCCATCGGAAGTGTCTCTGGGAGTGGACTCCGACGAGCACTAGAGCACATGATGAGCATCCGCGAACATCTCGCTTTTCGTTCGCAATGATTCCGGAATTTCAGCGTAATGGCTCCCGGTCGAAATCTTATCTATTGTTCGGGAGCGATTCAGGAAGGAAGCGGTCGAGTTGCGCGAAACGGACTTCCCGATCGAGCGTATCTTCGGTGCTAATTCCTCCAGAACAGCGTTCGTTGTCGACGGCTTGTCTCCCGGCTAGTTGGGCGTGTTGCTCCGACCCACACCCTGGTTCGCCTCCTCTGAGCGCTCTCAGCGGCTCTTACCCGCAGCGAGTAGATTCATAGGGTTTATATTTAACGCATTCGTCTATTCTGAGCTGGTTGCAAAGGTCACAAATTGCACGGTCTGCGCTGAACGCGTTGAATCCAACACGGACAGAAGCCCATCCTTTTTTTTTCGACGATTTTGACGAATCGCGCCGGCGCAGATGTTCGAGGGAAAAACTCGGATGTCGCGCGTCTTTGTTGATGTCGTTCACTCGGTTAACTTGTCTCTGTGTACCCAAAAAACTAACCGTCTTATTTGTTCTCTGTCCGCAAAGCCAGTAAGCGGAAAACACTGAGGAAGGACTCACGGGTCCTCCCCTCTTGCGTCGTTTGTTCTTTCCTCGCTCGTTCCCCGCTCCCAGACAGATAGACAGTCAGTCAGTCAGTCAGTTAGCGAGTCGGTCAGCCTCCCCTTTACCTGACCAAATAGCCAGCCCGCTCGCTGGCAAACCATCGGTCGGATCTCGTGGAAGGCTTAATTATCCCTGCTGAATTCAGCCGACGGGAGCTAGGTTCTGAAGGAAATGGAAGGACGACTTCCGCTCGCCGAAAAAGCTCCGCATTCAAACGATGCTGGACAAGAAAGAATCATCCTGGCCGTCTCTGAAACAGGAAGGTCGCTTTGTCCCCTCGGCGGACTTCTGCAGCGTCTTGCGCCGCCCGCCGGAGTCTGAGCGGGTGGGTGCTACGGTCTCCGAGCTCTTCCGGCCACTAACACTTACCTTCAGCTGGGACCAGTTGCCGCCATCGCTGTTCAAAACTTGAGCTTTCCCGTCCACTCTCGCCATCCACAGCTGCCTGTCGACGGCACACGCGGCCAGGGTGTCCCATTTGAGGGAAACCGAGTCCAAAAAGTGGCTGAACTCCGGCGCTGTCACGATGGATACGATCTGCGATGCTGAGGGTCGATCCTGAGGCAGTTGCGACCACGAGGTCGTCATGAGATCCAATTGGTATCCGGGAGTCGTCTGAGCTTCCTGCGTAACGAGAACAGATCTCTTGAGAAGCGCGGCTCACTAATCTTGTCACCCGCTGCCGTCGACAGCGGTGTCGAGTCCGCATCGATTCTTTGTGCCTATGGAACGGAAATCCCCAAAGTCGAGCTAGTTCGGAATCCTCCCGAAGGTTCCACGCGAGTCTCCCGGGCACGGATCGGCCTCGGGACGTCCGACTCAGCGTTGCGGAAGCTGAAAAGACGTCGGCGAAAGATTTCGCGCCGCCTGCGAGCAGAGAGGAGCAGATGTTGCCAGCCCGGATACATGCATCATCGAGATACAGAAATGTCCTGCGCCATGAAAAGCGAGAGCGATCAAATATTTATCAGTCCAACATGTCCTCAAACTCGGAAAAATCCGCTGTTGTTGCGGTAGCGTTGATATTTTGCCAAAACTGCCGCTTCTGCTGCCTCCATCGCGCGACTAGCACACGTCAAAGAAGGTGCGGGGAGCCGCATTCGCTTATCACCGACTCGGTGAGAATAGCGCTGTCACTGATGCGGCTATCGTAATTGAAGTCACGATGATCGGATGAAAAATTTATCGTCTGCTCGCTGGTGCATTCAAGCCTCGAGAAAAGGCTCTCAACGCCCACGCGGCCGACACCGATGTCTCCGACGTAGACCTCGAGGAAAACTCCCGCCGCAGACCCTGGATGAATGCAACAAGGATCCGACCTCGCCGCTCCCGTATGATTGATTCGGTTCTGTCGGCGAGATCGAGAAACTTTCGACGTCACTCTCTGCTCCAATGCCAATATCACTCAAACGTGACATAGCTCGAGAAACACTCATTCGTTCCTGGCATTCCTCCCGTAGTCCCAAAAAAGCACGCTCGTTGTGCCCGATCCCCGAATCAGAGGAAAAATATCGAACGGCATCCACCTCGCTGAACGCTCGGATAGGCCAGAGTCTAGAAAAGCGAATCGGAATCTCCTCGGATCCACGCGCTCTGCGGAAGTCCTGATGGTCTGCGGGAATTGTGCACGACAGCGGAACACGGCGTAGCGAATCCACTCCAGAACGATTGACGCAAACCGAAAAGATTAGAGAGAACGCCGGCGCCGTCATCGCTGTCATCACTCACCCTGTGGCTCAGCATGGGTCTCCCTCCGTCCAGTATATGATCTTTGACGCAATCACTGCCTTCGAAGGGTGGTCTCAAAGCTATCATCTCGTAGAGGAACATGCCAAATGAGAAACAATCGACTTTCTCTGTGTACTCTTCCTCGCCGTTGTGCCGCACGATTTCCGGTGCCATAAAACCCTCGGTTCCTGGAATAGAGGAGTTGCGGAGTCGGCTCGGACATCCATCAACGATTCTGAGGTCGTCCCGACCGCTCCATCATTTGTACGACGGAAAAGCCGACCCGAAGACGCGACGCTCGAATGTTCTCGCTTCTGGACATTATCCTGAGAAATTCTCGGCAGCCACGCTCTTCTTCAGACTAGGACACGCCTCACGAGCCCGGCCTGCTTTCCAACTCTCACCTCCGAAGCCCTTCGTCCCCGTTGGTAGAGCCGCTCTTGAAATTCCGTAATCCGCGAGTTTGACCCGGACAGCTCCTTCGGGTTGATTGGTCGAGGGGAATGCCCAGACCAAAACATTCTCGCTCTTCAGATCCCTGAAATATCCTCGGATGAGTTCCTTCAGCCTCTGGCCTCTCAACACATCTCCATCGACGACGGATCAGACAGCGTGTTCCTGTCACAGGAGCGTCCTCTCTCGAACTCGATATACCTGTATATAATTCGCTGCTGGTGCAAATACTCCAGAGCTCGAGCGACCTGCAGCGCAGTGGCTCTCAGCGCGAAAGGATCCACGCGGGCTCCGCAACGTCGATACTCCCGGAGAATAGCGTCAAGAGCCCCTTTCGGCGCAAGTTCCAGAACCAAAGCCAGCGGTCGCGGGCAAACACCTGCAACAAAGTGGATGAGCCAGGATTTGCGACTGCGCCTCAGCGGCGCCGACCGTCCCGCATCTTCCGGGCCATGCGGGACTAATTTAGCATCCAGTCTAGTTCAGTGGTGAGTCAGAGATAGCCAGGTTTCGGATACGCCTTTCAGGATAGACGGCTGGGGAGACTAAATTGAATGAACAACGGCTCATATGGAGGTATTCGGAAGCTTCACAATCATCAACACGGACGTACAACTCGAAGTTCGTCTTGCAAGCCATGATTTCTTCCTATCGAACGAATGAGAGGCGCTTCCTGTCGAGAGACGCTGATTGCACCTGCACGTGGCAGCCCGACCGAGTAATCGCCGGGCACATATGTATGTTCGAGGGGAGAAGCGCGTCTCAAAAAGTTATTACAACTCACCGATGAGTGGCACAATGCAGGGATGTTTCAGAGCCTGGAGTACGAGGAGCTCCTGGCGTGCGGTGTAATACGCTTTGGCCGCGTACTGCAAGGGATCTCTCTGCCATTTCGAATTCGCGGCTTTGTACGCCATGCTGTCACTCTGGCGGGCCCCGAAACCAGGATCGACAGGCTGCAGCATTTTCAACGCAACGTCTTGATAACCCTAAATGAGACGATTTTCAGTCAGAGCGCGGAAAGCCATCGCCCCGAGAAAGAGCCAGCCTGATACTACGATACAATGAGGCGCAAAAGGAGAATAATAAAAAAAATGAATGAATCATAAATCCCCGCACTCCCATTGTGTATGCTCGATTCGAGATGACGATTTGGATAAACTATGGGAATCATTGATTGAAGTTTATGGAGAAGAGCTAATGGGAACATTCATCCCAACTGAATTGTTGGTTCTCGTTCCGGAATCGATTCCTCGAATCATCGCTCGATTCCGCACAAATTCAATCGGGTCATCGGGAAAAGCATTGCGCGGGTTTTTCTCGCCGACGACCATTGAGCACGAATGGTAGGAAGAGAGGCATCTCTCGTAAACGCAACTAACGATCAAGAGCAATATTCTCCGAGTCGCTTCTTTTGGGAACGCCGGGAGGATTCGTCATTCGCCACTGGCCGTGGCCGACGCAGAAGAGAACTGGAACGCCTTTTCTCCTCGCTCTACTCGTGAATGGACCCTCAAGCTCCCTCAATGGAGAATCCGGCGGGCGATGCGGGATTCGGGACCCGAGTCACCGAGGTAGGTTTCCTTAAGGACCTCTTACCTGTTTTGTTCGCATGGATGCTTTGAAGACAAACCCAAAAGCTCCTCTGCCAAGCATTTTCCCGCGCTTGAGACAATCCGGATTCACCAGGAAGCGCCCACTCATGTCGATGAATACCTGTAACAACATCAACTTAATGGTTGCTTCGGCGAGCTCGGGGTAATGCCCGCGATTCAGACCTTTTGGGGCATTCTCTCGCTGTGGCTAGCTCGGCGAGCTGTTATTATTGTAGGGAGCTGTCGCTAGTTTGTCTAGTTCCGTAGTATGTCGACTGAATAATGTCGGTCGAGATCGAAGGCACCGGTCGGACAACGTTTCTCCGGGCTCTGATTGCAATTTGCCTCTGATTTCGGTGGACGCTGCCCGGAGAGCTCGACAGCTCTGGAGAAGATTAACAAATCCCTACTTAATGCTGGCTATTTTGAATTGCAGATTGTGACTAGCTGCTCATCCTGACGAGAGACCGTCCTGTAGTTTCTGTTTCTGCTTCAGTGCGAAAAATCGAAATAGGGAGGCGTGCGTGCAAGGCTTGGACTCCTTCCACGCATGTCCGCTGGTGAGACGAGGTGTTAATAGCATCGACAGAGGCGTAAGGAAAGCTAGAATACGACGTGTTCGATGTGAGCTTTGCACGCCTCATTATCACATCGACGGATTTGCATACTGTCAAAGTGGCGAAACATTGTGCCATTAGGTCCCGGGGGAGAAGGCCTGACTCGTGAGCGAGACTCGACCGGGAAGTCTCCATGGACCGCACGATGATCTCGGAAGAGCCTCCAAGGAACTGATACCATTTCCAGGCTTATCATTCCCCAATTGATGAAACGACGAACGTTGGATACGATTCTGAGCTCAGCGCTCCCAGAGTTTCCAGAGTTCGTCGTTTCCGAGGGCGTATGTAGACGAAGCGACAACTAATTGAGATTGCCATATCCCAATACGAGGACGAAAAATGTCCACGCCGACTCCTTGAGGTTTTGAATGATTCGAACTACGAGAACCACCGGAGTAAACTTTCGCCGCCACGGACGGGTTCGATGAGGCGGAAACCGAATGGAAGCTATGAGTATTCCTCGTTTATGTCGGAGACGGGCCTGTTTTTCAAATTATCTATCATCCGAGAAAGATTCCATCGAAATTCCTTCCTCTTCATGGAGGCCGTGATTGCGAGTTGGGATAATCTGAGGTTCGCCTCACGCCAAAGATTGCGCTGCTTACCACGTATTCGAAATTCAGAAATTCATTCTTTCCTCCAAGATCCAGGAATAGATTTCGCCGAATCGTGCGTTCTCGACAGAACTCGCTCCACGGATTGTTCAGAGAACGCTTTCGGCAAGACATCTCGAATTCCGTACCCGACGAGCCGAATACGTTTCAACTCTCCTTGTCAAGGTCATGCGTGGATGCGAACGTCACTTACCGCATCCGGAGCAAGTTCTGACAACAGAATCGTGCCATGTTCCTGACAGGTGACCATGGCCTGATGTTCGTGTGAAGCGAGAATGCATTCCTCAACAGTGAAACAGTGAAGAATCGGACGATCGTCTGGAGGGCCCGGGGCGCTATTGCCTTCGTCCTGCATGACTGGAGCTGAGTGACGCCGATTGCCGTCAGACGAGCCGTTACCGAAAACTCCTGGAATGATGAACAGACAATTCAAAAATCACGTATGCCGCCCCCAAAACGCCCAATCGATGCGGCGCCGGGAACGCATCAGATATTGAATTCCGATGCCGCAGCCGTATTCTCGGTGGGACGGAAGGGATGGCGGCGGCGGCGGCGGCAGGGAATAGCTACCGTAGGTAGGCCAAGGGGGAAACACTGACCTGAGTCTCCGCTCTCGCTCTGATAGTTCGCAACTTGAGCACGTCGCGGCTGTCTCCATGTGGCCACTTCTTGGGCCTGCTTCACGCAGCGATTGCACGGCACCAAGCGCGTAACAAGAAAACGTCCTTCCGACGTGTGGACGAATCTCGTTCCCAATGTCGGGTACCAGTCTTCCAATAAAGTGTCGATGCGCTCGACGGCCAACGAGAGGAGTTGGGTCACAGCCTCATCACTCGGTTTCAGCACATGGGTCTCGTGGAGCTTCGTTTCCTCGAACTTCGGGTCTTCGGCCGCGAGCAAAACATCGAGTTTGATTGCATTCCTCGGCAATCGTACGCCGAGAATCGTGTACGTGTTCACGTCGATGGTTTCCCAGTGTTGCTCGCATTTGACTCTGATTGTCGAGTCCAAGTAGTCGGGGAACGTTGGCACATGCGACAGAACTTCAGCGATACGCAGAACCGTCACGCCCATGTAGCGGAGTTCGACTCCGGTTTGCCAACATACCCACTCGGCGGATTTTCGCATTTCGGCTGTCAACGGCGGGGCTTCCGGAGGGGCGACGTAGTAGAATCGCAAAGCTTCCATTATAAGATCGTCGGCTAGGATTCGAGTGATCAGTCGCGGCCAGAAGCCCGAAGGCAGGTACGAGAGAATGATAATTCGACTTATCTCTCGTCCGAGGTCTTTAATGACGTTGGTCTGAGTGCTGCAGTCTCTGAGGTGCAGGGGCGTGCCCTGATTCGATTCCGTATGAACGGAAGAAACGCTCCCGCTTCTTGAAAGATCATTCGTTGAAGTAGTTTTCTGCCCCCGCGGCACCCAGCTCCGAGAGCGCACAGGAACCTTGACGTCAGCACCGGCCCGGATCTGATCTTCGGTCGGCAGCAGCGACGGTATGAGGAGGTTTCGTCCGTCCCATGTGAGAGCCACCTCGAATTTATTCAACAAGCTGAGAATATACGATTCGGGATCGGCAGGGGCGCACGTCGACGCTTTGAAAACGATTTTCAAATCCTCTACTCGCATTATGCCTTGTCGTGCGAAAGGGTTCACCTCACGGATCGTGACCACGTGTGCCAACATATCACAGAGCCATTGCGGATCGATGAAGTAGAGATCACGCAACGTCGCGTCTTCGTAATGCAGAAGAACGCCGCTTTCGTGGAGGAACATGGACGCCTGGTTCAGTTCGTACTTGTCGCGGAACGTCATGTTGAATCGCTTTTTCATTTCCTCGCCCACAATCTTGAGGAACTCCTCGCTTTTCAGCACCGGATCCTTGCCCTTGACACGGCGCTCGGCTCCGAGATGGTGCACGATGTCTTCGAGGGCGAGGTAAATCGCCGGGATCCTCTGTTCCAGCAGGCGTTCCTTGCTTCCCGGCGATCGGAGATCATACGCCGTATCGTATATGAGCTCCGAGAGACGGCGTATGTTGTGCTTCGTCTTGCAGGAGATTTCGATGGAATCGATTATTCTCGGTAGACCACGTTTGTCCGCATCGACCGTTTGGAGGAAACGATCCCGAACCATCTGCTGGAGATCCTCGCTGTACGACATGGGAAACTTCTCCTGGACGAGATCGTGGTGCGTGCCCACGATGATGACCGGCGAGTTGGGCGCCCGGGCCTGAATGTTCACCAGCCACTGATGCAGACTGCGAACGCCGCGCTCCCCTTCGAGCATCGACCACACGACCAAGTACAGCGAGCGTTTCGATAGGAAATACTGATGGGTGGAGTAATACTCTCGTTGTCCGCCGAAATCCCACGTTCGGAAAAGGACCGGTCCCCGGCCCGGCTTCCTCTCGAAAACCCAATCTCCCACGTCGACGCCAACTGTGGATAGAGACACCCCCTTGGAGTTTTTGAGATTGATGTTCTTGTTTCCCATTCGTTTCGCCCAATGTTCCGGAGCCTTCGCGCGACCGGAGCCCTCGCCGCGGAGGACCTCCAGTAGAGATGTTTTCCCGATTCCGTGTGTGCCTACAACCATGAGCTTCATTCTCGCGTAGGGTCGGGCGCTGTTGGAGAGAAAAAAAATACAATCCCTTTTTTATCGTCGCCCGACAGTCTGTCTCACAACGTCTAACGTAAGAGCATGCACCGCCGGACGGAAGCTCGACCGGAAGCGCCGGAGAACGACGGACAAAGAAACCGCGACAGTTTCCGGGGGAGCGGAGACACTTACTCTTCGAGAATCGACTTGAGGTAGCCGACGATGTCCATCGTTTTGTATTTCCGCGACTCGATCATCGTTCGTAAGGGTTCCTGTAGACTACATCCTCGCAGGTTCAGATTCCACAACTTGTTCAACAGTCCGATTTCGGGGGGAAGTTGAACGATGCCGATGTTCCCGCTCAGGTTCAAAACGGAAAGCGTCGCTTGCAGCTCGGAAATGGCCGTTGGAATGACGGTCAGTGCGTTGTTCGCCATGTCGAGCATGGACAAATTCGGAAACAAGAGTTTCTCCTCGTCCCGTTCGACGGCCGAGAGGACTACTTGAGCGATGCGATTATTCCCCAACAGGAGAGTGCGCAAGGACTCGAGTCTCATGTGAGCTCTGTGGACGCATCGATGTTTGTTGCTCCCTGGAATCGAGCGCCGCGTGAGCGAGTTGACGGCATTCAACGGCATTTGCATGCGAAAGGCAGCCGGGGCTTACCTGTTCCAGACGGCTGTTCACGCGCATCGGCCGAACAGGGCTCTATGTGCGGACTCGTCGGGGTAACTAGCCATTCGCCGATTTGATTACAGCTCAGGTCCAAGTGTCGAATTTGTGCAGGGTAACAGTTCAGAGGTCCTACGTAAATAAGTTTGTTGTAGGCCAGCGAGAGCCTCGCCAACTGAGGCGCATTGCAGGCCAGGACCGATGGCACCCATTCGAATGCGTTGTGCGATAAATTGAGTGATTGTAGAGCCCGAGTCGAAGTCGACTCCTCGGGATGACTGTCGACCAGCTGTAAACAGCCCCGCCATTTGGTGTGGTGTTTCAGCGGTTGCGGAATGCATGGATCGTTTTTCACCGGAGGCTCTTCGAGTTCCTGGTCTTGATAGGTTAGAATCGGCTCTTGCTGATAGCCAAGAGCACCGGGGAGGTCCCTCAACAAGTTCATTGAGAGATTTAGATCTTTCAGTCTCGGCGAATGCCAGATCTCCGAAGGCACCTGTTGTATCTTATTGTTGGAGACGTCCATTAATTGCAGCTGTGGCAATCGGAAGAACACGGTCGGTATCTCCTCGATCCGATTGTCCTGCAGATGAAGTTCTTCGAGGCTGCAGTGCACCACTGAGAACGCGGATGGCAGAGCCGCTATCTTGTTCTGGGCGGCCGTTAGAACCTTCAGCGAAGGCATGGCCGTGAAAACGCAGTCTGGGAGCTCTATGAGCTCGTTAGCCGAGATGTCCAATCTGGTAATAGCACCGAGTGCCGGCAACCGGCTATTCGGAGACAGTTTCAGCTTCATGTTGAGAACCATGCCCGCATCGATCAACCATTGCTCGTCAAGTCGAGAGAACTGGCAGCCGAGCTGATGCCAATTTATCATCACCGGAGTGTTTGGCACCAGGAGAGCGGCGGCGTATGCCGAGTCCGACAGAGCTTCTAGAGCTTTTTTATTCACCTGCAGCAAGATGAATTATTTAGTCTCCGGGCGGCAAACGCTCCTCTTCCTCCGCTCACTAACATGCTTAGAATCGTTTAACGCATGCGATGCAGCCGTTCCAGAGAGATGGGGATTCGAGCCCGTGATTGGGGAATTTATTGGAAAATCACCTGATTGAAACGCGAATGAATCTAAGGGGTCGGGGCCCATGTGTTAGTCATGGTATGTACGTGCGGGCACACGAGCGCGAAAGTCGCGACAGTTTCGTTCGACCGGTCTACCCACTGGACTAATTAAGCGTCTCGCATTCGCCCGAAGCTAGCCCAATCGGAGCGTACCTTGTTCTCATTATCTTTATGAGCCTTGAGCGAAAGGAGTTTCGCAACGGCTTTGTCGTCGTTGACAGCAGCTGCCGCCCGCAGCCCACCCAAATCAGTATCCGTGGCTCCATGTCTCAATAAGAGATCCATCATCTGGTTGTCTCGATGTCGACAAGCATCTTCGATCGGGCTCCGCTCGTCCTCACCTGCAATATGGCTTTCATCATCCGAATTCGACACGGAACGCGGCGTAATTCCATGATCCGCGACGTTACGTCATGCGTTATCGATTCCGAGTAAGAATCTACAAACGCATCCTCCCTCACTCGCTCCCTGGCTCTCTGTCTGTCTGTCCTTCCGCATGGCGTCGTCGCTCGTTAGAAGCGAATCCGCAGAATAATCGGGAGCGACTAAGCTCCCGGCGGGCTCTACTCGAGGAAAAATTCAAAACTCGACTCCCGAGAGCGAGTGATAACTCATCCGTGCAAGTGATCGTGACGTAGATTGAAATCGGCGGCAACTAGCCTTCGGCTTTGTCCAGGAGCCGTCTACGATAACGAATCAATTTGAAGCAGCGGCCTTCGCGACTGTTCTACGCCAAGGATGGATGAATAAACACATCGGCTTGAAGTGGATCCAATTATCGCGAATTTGATTAGTTCGTCATTCAGCCGCCGGGAGTGAAAGCAAGAGCCCACCGGGCAAGCTATTACTCGAGCCGCTAAACTCGGCTCGGCTTACCTTTGGCGACGAGGTTGGGATCCGCGCCGGCTCTCGCGAGTGCCGACGCTATGGCATAGTGCTTATTACGCACAGCAGCGTGTAGAGCTGTTTCCTCGCGTCCCAAATCCGAGCGATTGTAGTCGTTGAGACGCAACGGGCAAATTTGTCGCAAGTCCGAAGGAATTTCCTCGCCTGTTGGAAGGGGATACCTCGCTCGTAGGTAGGTAGGAAGGTACATATATGCCCCGGAATCACGAGGACGCTGGAGCCGGTCCCGGGCGCGGAGTCGATCACTCACCCGAATTTTCCATCGACAATCTCGTCATTATCGACCGAAGCTTTCCGCTGTTCCCACGTATAGGACTCTCCTCCAGAACCGATGTATCACTAAGATCGGACACGACTCGATGCGCCCAGACTTTTAATTTCAGAAGTGTTTCGACCGTCCGTTGATCCCCAAGTCTTCGGAGGGAGGCATGGAAGAAGAGCCGAGTGAGTTGAGACAAGGCCACAATGCGGAGCATGGGGCCGACGTGAAACTATCCTACCTGCAAGCGGCGTAAAGGGCGCTCTGGTCGGCGACGTCCTTGGCGTTGATGTCGAACGGCATCGTGAATTCCCATTTGCCCGACGGGTCTCTGTAGGCGTTCTTCATCGATGGTGGATATTGATGGTTGAAGAGTTTCTCGACGATTCGGAAGTGACCATTCAGGGCCGCGGCATGGATAGCTAACCACTTCTCGACTGTGGCTTGCCGGGCAAGATCGGGGAATTGCTGGAAGCACGAGTTGCTGCCGCTAATTAATCATTCGCGATCGGACACCTCAACAGCCAAGCATAGACAAGAGAATTTTTCCGCGTCATGCCCATGGCTGCGACGCTGAAGGCGAAGGGACAAAAACGAAGAAAAAAAAGAATAAGAAAGAATCATCACCGCTGCCAAGGAACGAGTACGGAGGCTGCATCGGATAGCTCCGTCCCCGTCCTTGCGCCCCTGTCCTCGCGCGTCCGTCCTTGGAACGCGTAATCGGAGCCAGTTGAGTAATATGTAGGATCATTGTGAGTTCGGTCTGGAGTATTGCTAACGTGCTCAACATGGCCGCATCTCGGGGGCGTGCGTGCGTCGATGGCAGCTGTCGGCGAAGCGCCCGTGTTCCGTGAAGACTCCGAATCCCGACAGGCTTATCCGACCGGATATTTCCGGTCAACTGGCGCCACCGACCCTTCACGCCTCTGGTCGTTCGAAAGTTTCGCAACGCGTCGGCTTCCTTGTGACGAAACTACACATTTAAGCGGATAATGATGTTTTCGTAGCCAAGGAGGGCTTACGCGGTTCCTTGCTCGCAGTGGCTTCAGCAACAGCAGTTCATCTTCGCTAGGAGTCGCGCGGATCTCTGTGAGCAATAACGGAGCCTGTTGACGCAACGCGAGAAGTCGCGGATATCGGAGACTTCCATAGTCCCCAGAACAGAGGTGTTGAATTTTCCGACAGAATCGTCTAGCCGGATGCACCCGACAGATCGGCTCGCATGCATCCGAGATTTTCCGAGACCGAATCCGACGGCGGGAAAATCTTCGAACTTCGACCTTCGTCTGGTAGGATATCTCCGCATGCATGCATGAGCTCTGAGTGAATTCCGGAATTTCTGAATACGTGGATACTCTCTGGCAAAGTCACAGATCCATCCGGATTCTTGGAGCTCTGATTCGCGGAGCGGGAGGGATCCCATGCGACAGGAGCTCCCTACGATCCAGCGCTTTTCCTTGGCGGGGAGAAATGTTCCGCTGTAGCGCATGGGCTCCTATTGGAGGCTCCGGTCCTGAATGAAGATTCAAGACTCCGGCGTTGTCAGCTCGTTTCCCTCGCTCCCCGTCCCCTCATCGTCGCACAGCTCTCGAAGAAATTTCCCGCGATCCAGTCCAGCTCGTGTCCGATATCCAGCAGAGAACTCGGGTGGTTCGTTTTAGGCGGCGGAATTCACACGAGCTGGCAGGGCTCGATGCCTCGGGTTTTACTTTCAAGACAAATTGATATTTACAACACTGCTGTAGTTCGCGCTCGGATCGAGACGATCTCCGTTCCTGCGGCCGAAGTCGGCTGTTCCGAGGAAACAATGCCGAGGATCCCAATGGAATTCTTATTTACGTTCCCGCAGACAGCCGGCGACCGAGTGGAAAAATATTCCCGCTTCTGACACCGCTTCCAGCCACTCTAGTTTTTCAGGACTTTGTCTCGGTATAAATGACTTCCGAAAAGACAGCGAAAAAGAGGAGGCTCGAAGAGGAAAAAATGACCTACACCCGTTGGCTGTCAGCGACTTCCGACTGCTAGCGAAAACACCGAAGATTCAATTCTTCCAGTCGGCTTTCGAGCTCGAGCTCCCCGTGGGTGCCCGTCGCGACACGAGAGCATTCGTCCTAAACCTCCTCCGAGAAGCGGAAAACTGCCCACGAGGCTCCCTAGTCACGATCCTCCCGTCGACGCACTGTACCGAATACGCTCGAACTTCACCCATCGATGCCGGTACAACGCGGACGCAGAGCCCAATCGCCAAAGAAACTCGCGCTCCTGAGATTCCAAGCGATGCTACGGCTCGCTGCATGAGACGCAAAGATCCGGCGAGTGAAGGCTCCGTTGTCTTCGGCTTCCGCTGCGGGGTTCCCGAGCTCGGGACCGGGCCGATACGCCCTCGCGAGAATCAATCAAGCGTGATGGGCCAGAAAGAGTTCCGCGCTTTCGCGGATCCTTTTCCTTGCGATTCACGCAACATAGAGCACACTCGGATGCTCTTTATTTTGAGAGAGACTCCTGAGCTAGAAAGTCCGGTAGCCGATTTGTTCGGGGGAACAATCAAGAAACTCTCCGGATCGATCTTTCTGCGAGTGCAACCGGGACCTCTCTCGTTTCCGTCGTCCAAGCCCACCGTATTGAACGGGCTCTGAGAGGGATTTCGGAAAAGCCGCGCTTCGGCGACTCGAGTCGATGGGAGTAAATCACTCCGATTCTCGATGCCGATCTGCTTTTGGCGTGATTCGCTGGAAACTTGGAAGTCGATTCGACGTCGGGCTTGAGTCGTCCAACCCGATGACTCATTCCATTTCCGCAAGACGAATTGCTCGCGATTCCTCGTTCGAGGGCCACCGATGAAGGTCGACTGCTTTCGAATAAATCAACTCGACCGGTACGTGTTCTTTTTCGTTTTGACAGCTTTGTGAGCGAGGAAGAGCTCGTGCATAGTCACATTGTCGATGCGATCCCTGATATTTCGGTGTGGAACCCTCCCGTCCCAGCATAGTCTTTGTCATTAAGGGCTAGCTAGCTAGTCCGGATGATGGGAGCTCGGAAGCCCGAGCTTCCTTTTCCTTTCTCGTCCGTTAATGGCTCCGCGACGAGAAAGTTCGCTCCTCACCGCAGCATCGGCTCGCGCTCAGATCTACCGTAACGAGCCTGAGCCAGACTCCAGGAAGGAATCTTCGAGGCTCATCGCGAAAAATTCCGCGGGTTTTCTCCTCCCTTCGGAGAGTTTTCATTTCTAATTTCATTGCGATAGCGCACTCGGACTCGCCCGACCGGGAATCGATAGCAAAGGATAGCGTGGCTGGCATTTTGGAGCGAGTACGAATAAGCTCACCGTCCAAATATTCAATGAAGCGAGAATATCGAACACCATCGACCTTGATGACCAGCATGATAAGTCTCGAGCTCGAGCTTAGCGATATCTTATCGGCTTGATGTAATTGAAACTTTGAGACCGAGGATTACGTCCGAGCGCCAGAATCCGCGATATTGGCTCTCGCGGACGTCAGCGACACCACCTCTTCACTTGCACTTAGTTAGCGTATCGAAATCGGAGTCGTTGCGGAGGCTGCGTCGAGTCCCCATTTGCCTCCGGTCCGATATCGAATATGTCATTCGTTCATTTTTTGGTAATAGTCCTCGTGTACGAGTCGGTCGTCTGCGAGCGCACTTTCAGTATCGACTACCAGTCGAACTCCTTCGTCAAAGATGGTGAGCCATTCCAGTTTGTCTCGGGGAGTTTGAATTACTTCAATGTACCCCACGAGCTGTGGGAGAAACGGCTGCACTCAATGAAACTCGGCGGCGTCAACGTACTCCAGACGGGCATCGAGTGGCGTTCGCATGAATCAGAGCCCGGCAAGTACAGTTTCCGCGGGCAGAACGACGTCGTCGGATTCATCCGGATGGCACAACGGATCGGGTTTCTCGTGAACATTAAAATCGGACCCTTCATTGACTCGAACAGGGACATGGGTGGTATGCCCTGGTGGCTTTTGAGCTCGAAGTCAATGGAGCTGCGCACGGCTAATCCCTCGTTCCTGGCTCCGGTCGACCGGTGGTTCTCGGTATTACTCCCGAAACTAAGACCTCTCCTGTACCGCTTCGGAGGACCCATACTACTAGTGCAATTGGAGAATCAATACGGATCGTCCGGTGCTTGTGACAGCAACTACACCGCTCACTTGCTCGGAACCGCTCAGCAGTTCCTCGGAAGGGAAACCGTTTTCGTCACCGCCGATGTTCCGACCGACGAGGCTCTAAATTGCGGCAGTCTGGCCGGCTGTCTGGCCACCGCCTCGTTCGGTCCCGCGGCCGATCCGGACTCTGCCATCCGAACGATGCGCCGCCACCAAAGTACAGGTCCGCTGGTCAACTCGGGCTTCTCTACAGCCGATGCCGATGTATGGGGTCATGCCCATCACACCTCCGACGGGACGGCTTACGCAAAGCGACTCGACGAGCTCCTCTCCCGGAACATGAGTGTGAACATTGCCATGTTCCACGGTGGAAGCAATTGGTATTTCGACTCCGGAGCGAAACTCGACAGCGGGTCGTTCTCGCCATTCACGACAAGTTTCGACATGGACGCGCTATTGGACGAGGCTGGGGATCCGACACCGAAGTTTTTCGACGTCAAACGAGTTCTGAAAAAACGATTCCCGAATGTCCCCGATGAAGATCCCGCAACAGGTCCTAAAATGATCCACGAGCCGATAAAAACACCCTTAGTCTTCGATTTGGACTTCATTATAAGACACATGGAGATCGCTGGCCTGTACCAGACGACGCCGAGCCTGAGCTCGATGGAGAGTTTCGGACTCGACTACGGGATCGTGGTCTACTCGACGGCTGTTCCCTCGTCAGCGAGCGGCTCGGCGGTGGTGCGCATAAACGACGTCAGAGACCGGGGCTATGTTTACGTGGACGGCAAGCTCCAGGGTCGTGTGGATCGCTCGCAGGACACGGCCGAATTCACTTTGAATTTCTCGAATAACTCGAGACTAGACATCGCCGTAGAGAACCAGGGACGAATGTCGGACTCTGCTGGCATATCCGACCGCAAGGGTATGATAGGCAGCGTGACAATGAGGGACTCCGAGCTCGGACCTTGGAAAGTTTTCCAAATCGCCCGCACGCAGGCCGATTTGGAGCTCCCGGGAGGAGCAAGGCTGAGTTTGGGAGAGTCGCGAATTCGCGGAGCAACAAAAGGCCCACGGGCGAGACCAACCGAAGGTTTCGGGATTTACGCTGGATTCTTCGTCATCACGGAAAGCATTTGCGATACTTATCTCAAGCTCAACGGCTTCACGAAGGGCTATGTCTGGCTGAACGGAAACCATTTGGGAAGGTGAGTGCCGCTGAGCTAAAAAACTCCACAGTATTCAATGCAGCGAGAGCGAAGCCTCGACTCCGTGGCATAGACAAATCTAGAGCATTGATCCACCTCACGGAGCGGTGGATGCAGGAATGGAGAATAAATGAAACTCAGAGCTTCCGCTGACTCCGGCATGATCCTCCGCAGCGACGTTTCTTTCCACGAATGTCTATGAATCGATGTCAGATAACTCGAGTAGAATGTCTGTAGCTTCTCGCCGGGAAAAAAAGAACGACTCCTCGAGTCTGGTTGCGGTGATCAGTTGCCCCCCCCTGAGAGTTTCAGCGGTTTCGATTTCAAATCTCAATATGCGTAATATTATTCCAGGTACTGGACAACAGAAGGACCTCAACAGACGATGTACGTGCCGTCAGTTTTTTTCAACGCGAGCTCTGTCCCTCAGCAAATCACCATCATTGAGCAAGAGCATGCCGGCGACGACCCCAGCATCGAATTTGTCGATAAACCAATGACGAAAACTTTCCCATGGAGAGGGCGATCCGCCCCGGTAGCACGCCCGGTAGCTCCTATGCCCCTTCCCGAGGAATAAACCGAACAAATTATTTTCGGTGGACATTCAAGGTTTTCGGTCCGAGTCATCGAATAGATTCGCGCAGAAGCGCTCTCTGGGCAAGGCTCGTCGTTACTCACGTCCAGGAGCAGGTCCACAACTTCCTTCCTCCCTCTCGACGCGGCTATATACAGGGGCGAATGTCGGGTCAAGGGATGCAATCTCCCGTCCGCCCCGAACTCGATCAAAGTCTTGACCAAGGCAACATGGCCGTCTTCGGATGCCCTGAAAGAAAACAGATTTTCAGTGCCGTCTTCAGGCCGACGTCATACTACCCAGCATCGGATTCCTTCCTAGCTGTATTCCGGAAACGTACTTGTAGAGGAGTGTATTGCCTCCGTCGAGCGTCAGATTGACCACCTCAGCAGCGTCTGGATCGAGCTTCGTGAGAATTTCCCGGACCTTCGCGACATTGTTTTCCAGACAAGATTCCCACAGCTCTGCGAAGTGGCCCATCTTCTGCAGTTCCTGTTGTTCCGACGCTTTCCGAAGCGCTTCCATGACCTGAAGGTCAGAGTATTCGCTCAGTACGTGTCGGTAAGCTATCATGGCTTTGCGAGGAAGGTACGCAGCAATTCAATCATCCGGTCGGTCGGAACACGGCTCATCTCCACTCACCGCTATATGGCCGGCTTTCTCGGCCAAATCGAATGGTGTGTGACCGTCGCTGTCCTGTGCAGATATATTCGCGCCGTGTTGGATGAGCAGAGCGACCACTTCCAGATTCGCTGCATCTGCCGCGACGTGCAACGGGGTACGACCATGCTCTCGCTCTCCGGCCGCAACATTCGGCTCCGCTGTTGAACACAGAAAACGTTTTTGGAATCGTATGCTTCACTATGACAGAGCGAGGAAACGCTCTGCGGAAGACCAGAGGCCGATCGACTCACCTCCAGCTTGAAGGAGGATCCGCGCACAGATGGGATCGGTGTTGGTACAGGCATCGAATAGCGCGGTGCGTCCGGAGTCATCCGAAGTATTGATCTGTTCGATCTCTTCCCCATGGAGGAGATCTTCTAAGAGTTCCGCGTTTCCCCACAAGGCCGCCTGATGCAGAAGTCGTCCCGGGTACAGACTGTCGGGCTCCTCGTCCATCTGGGGTAGTGAAATTCGTCTTCTGAGAACAGGCTCATTTTGCGAAACAATTGCGAGGACCCTGCGTGACTTTCTCTTCTCGCGGATCCCTCCAGTGACTCAATCGATGAACACGAGCTAATGGTCAACGTTCTGATTCATGTCGCAGGTCGTTTTGAAGGAGGCGAGACGGGGTCGAGTTGTGAGTTTTATCGGACGAAACCTGCCGGTCGTGACGGAATGCAGTTCGGAAGCCAAGGCTCAGCAATTTTCGGGAGCTTTCGGCTGTGAAGTGAATGTTCTGGGCTTGGGGGACGATTTCGAAAACGAGAAGTAGATTAATTCTCTGTGAAGCTCACCGGGAATAAAAAACAAGGCACCAGGCGGACCAGGAGAACATCCGGGAGATCATGAAAGAGTGAGGATAGATGGACTGTCGTTTGCTCTCCAGCTGATCATAACCTAGCGTATCGGGAAACCTTGTCAAGACATATTAGGGCCGCATGACAACTGACCATCACACCATCTGCTCGGCCAACCGCACATTTACCACATCGGAAAACTTGCCAGCAACGAATATAATCGAGCCATTGAGGCGGCGACAAAATTTCTCCATTGGACCTATGACTCTTCCCTCCACGACACAAGGCAGACCCCAGTCAGCTGTGAGAGATCGCGCGTACGCTTATCGTATATCAGGCGAGAGAATAAACTTCGATTTCCGAACTTCGAATCTCAGGTACACCCTTGCTGCCGATGTGATTGCACGGAGGATCGACAACGAACACGAGGGGCCTCTTGGCAAGATTTTGCGGGAAAGAGAGGGGGCTATGCTTCCCGCTCCACGTACGAACGGTCGAACTCCACCGGAGACACTACACAGCTGACGGGGACTCTGCACCGGGAAAAACACGGGAAAAAATCTTCGGCTTCAAAGCGAGACGGGCGATGATTCTGACCTTCGCGAGCACGTTATCTGTGAGGCTCGACACTGACACAAGTCGACATGTGCTTCGGTAGAGCTTCACTCGGGACGATGTTGCTCAGCTTCAACTCGATTCAGTGTGTGCGGCCATCTTTGTTGTGATGGGCCGTCTGCCTGCAGCCGCGACGACACTCCCGAACCTGTTTGCTTCCCAAAAGCAGGTAAGCGGTGGAGCCGCTGGAATTCTGAGGGAGTGCGAACGTAATAGCACCCTCAGGCCGTGAGCCAGCTCGATCCATACTCCAAATACATATTGAGCAGCAGGCAAGTCTGCATTCCGGAGACTTAGTAGAAATTGGCGACGCTCGAGGCCTCATTGGCCGTGATCCACGTTGATGCGCCGTGTCCCAAGCATGATCTAGACGTGAACAACCTTGATCCAAGCCTGATCGATCGTGTTGTCCAAGCACGGCCCACGGTCATGGGACATCGGGTTTCGGGTAAATGGGAGTAAGCGCCTGATCGCCTAGGGGCCCTCAGCAGAGATCATCAAGATCATTTTCGTCATTTCGGTCAACAAATTTCGCCTCTATGCATCTCTTATTCCTCCCGCAAGATTTCTCTCAGAGAGCTTTGCGCCTATCATGGAGGTGATTAAGTACTACGAGAAGCCAGGAAAATCCCGGGGGACCGTCTAATCGTACGGGATGGATTCCGTTTCTACATGATGGGTGCTGCTTTCCTTGTTGCCAGACGGTTCCTCACTTCGCTATAAAGATAGGGGGAAGACTTTCTGTGCCCGATTTTCGGCTCCGATATTCAGTGTTCATTGTTCATTACCTCGTCGAGCCGCTGCGGAGGACGAAGCGTGTGAGTAGACTATGGAGCATGAGCTATAGAGTTTAGATTGGGACACGGCTTCCGTTTCCTCCACCGTCCTCTCGAATTTACTTTGATCGATCGCTGACTGGAGCCTGCTGAAGCTCCATTGGCGGGAAGTTGGGACGAGCCTCACTGAGGTTTTGTCTCAGCAAGGCCACACTCGGTGATTACGGTAGGGACAAGGGGACGCCTTCTTGTGCTAGGCTATCGATACCCCATCTCTAAGCTCCTTGGGAGCGAAGTCCTATCTCGTTTGACGAGGCTCTCGGCCGAGGATTTTTCACTAGTCGGAAATTCGTATCTTCCCTGAATGTTCAATTTTATGCTCACCGAATGTGCTCCTCGTTCCTTGTCGCGCACACCTCCCTAAAGCGATGAGATCGGGGATACTTCAATCCAACCAAGCTCTCCATTGGGGGCGATGTCATCCCGGTGGAGGAATCATCCCACTCGAAACTTGCACGAGGAGAGAAATAATTGAATATCGAACCCCACGATGAGCGAGCCATCTCGTGTAATGGATGATGGAGTTTGTTCCGCTGTCCATGCCCCTAGTCTTGGGAGCTCCGCTCCGTCGTGAGGTGCGGATCCGCTTTTCGAAGTATTTAATCGCGATTACGCCTCCAGGTGAGGAATATTGTGGACTCAAGGCGGCGGTTCTGGAGCCGACAAGTTTTCGAATCAGGTAAGTCTTTTGGTGAGATAAAACCCTCCAAGATGGGTGGTATCCATCGAGCGCGTGTCATAAAGTCCGAAATACTCGCGCTCGGATAGAAAGCCCTAAATTGAAAACGGAGGCCGAGAGTGCACTTAAGAAGAAATGGGGTGGACTTTGCCGAGTTCCGTTGACAAACCTGGTGCTTCGCTCGTTGCAATTCCAGACAAGACGGTCTTGCCCCTCCTAAAGTTCATGCCTCCTTCTAGGTCGATCCTCGTCTCGGATCAAGACTTCGAAATCGGACACTTCCGAAACTTTTCATCCCGTCTCAACTTCCGTACAGACCCCAATACCGATTTTTCTGCCAGTACAGACATCGACACACCGCTGCAACGTCTGAGCGGCATGGAATCTTTCACCGCAGACGCGACCGTCTCGATGGATACACAAAAGCGTCGCAAACAGTTCTGTTTAGAAGAGAAACTATCCATTCTAGAAGAGGTGAACTCGGGCAAGAAAAAAGTTGATGTCGCTAAAAAATATGGAATCAGCAAGTCGACCTTGTCGACGATCCTCAAAGACAGCAAGAAGCTGGAAGAGCAGGCGAAAACAGCGGGCTTCGACCCTAAACGTAGGAGGATGAGAACCGCCCAGTACGACGACATCGACAAAGCGACCCTCATGTGGCTACAAGACGTTCGGTCGAAAAACATTCCCGTCACGGGACCCTTGCTCCGGGAACGAGCGCTGCATTACGCCGGTGAGCTCGGCCATGACGATTTCCGAGCGAGCGAGGGCTGGCTCGCCAGGTTTCGCAACCGTTATGGGGTTCGGACCCGGGCTCCTAGTGACGAGGTCGCTCCTGTCTCGAAGGCCCAAGAGTGGACGGAAGCCACCATGAAGAGCATCATCGCCGGAGAGATCACCCCTCAGGATGTGTACAAAGCCGCCGAGGCAGCCTTGGTCTATCAATTGTTATCAAAGGAATCGTCGACAGCGAACGATGATCCCTGTAAGAAAGAAAAGAGCCAGGGATTCACTTGATTCCGCCTCAGCGGAGTGAACAAAGTTTGTGATAATGCAGACGAGAGGCATCCCCCTTCCTCGAACGACTCTTTTGGAACACACCGTCTGCAGCGAGTCTTCGTCAGCCGCTCCGCATCCGAGCTCGATCGAAGGGAGCATATCGTTCCAGGGGTTCGGGGAACATTCCAGAAGAGAGGTCTTCCCGGGAAAAACATAGAAGCTTCGTCATGAGTCCAGTGGACGATCGACCTACGGAGGAGAAGACTAGTCCCAACCGGATACCTGAGGGAAAACGCCCGATGTCTCAACTGTTTACAGACGGAAGAGCTGTATCATAGCGCAATTGACATGAATCCCGAGACTGATGGACATCATGTACATACATACGATATTCTTCAAATGTATACACTCCTTGAAATAAATCCGAAGCATCACGTCACACTCTGAGCATGATGCGAAGTGCTCGTCCATTGGAGGGAACTCGGCCATCAGAAAGAATACGGTAATCGATTACCGGCTGGAATGAGATCGAGCTGAGTCGCACTGTTTTTCTCGGGCCTCAGCGAATGGACTGCATGACGGGTGGAATTCGTGAATGCTCATGATACGGTAGGTCTTGATAGCTTCAATGAAAAAGATTCGCGCGTTGGCAAGAATTTTTTTCCCACTAGGACCCAGGAGGGTACCGGAAGCGACCGTCAGGGCTTCTCTCGAATAGATTTGACATATGGCGGCATTCCGGCATAAATCCCCCGAGATCGGGCATTGGAATCAATCAAACAATTCCCGAAACTGTTTCGGAATCGGACTCCCCTCCGGGCGTATGACGGAATGTCGACAGAATTCCTACGGGTGTACGCGAACGGTTATCTCTTCGCCTCAGAGGTACCGCTTGCCTCCACGGACGACCAGCAGACAAATAACGGAGCGCAGCATGAAGCGTATTCGATTGGCAGCGAATTGGGAATACGTTCTTGTCTTTTGCTCCATTGCCCCAATAAAAACATTCCGAGTGGCGAGAGCGGATCGGTCATCCGACGGAGAAGACACTCGGTACCCGTTGCAGCCACTTCGATGGAACCTCTCCCGTCTGGAGGGGCGTTCCGCGTCGATCCGCTGTGAACTGACAGCGTAAAAGCATGTGAGAATCGGACTGTGCAGGTGGCACCCTGTAAATCGTATCCGGAGGCGAACCAGTACCGTTTCCACCATGAATCCTCTCGATGTCTCCACGTTGATCGGGACTTTCGGCAGATACCAATTCCTGGTGATGATGGTCACCGTGTTACGGGCCTTCCCGACGTCCTGGACTCTGACCAGTATCGACTTCATCGCCGGCGACGTAGACCACTGGTGTGCGCCCCCGAATCGCGAAGTGTGGAATCAAGATCACTGGAAAGCGACGGCCATCCCATCAAAAGATGGAAAGCAGAGCCGATGTCAGCACCATCGGATTGTGAACGGTCAACTCTGGTTCAACGAAACCGTCGACTGCGCGGACTGGGAATACGATGAAGCGGCGCCGAGCAGCGCGCTGGTGGAGTGGCATCTCGTCTGCGGGCGCGATTGGATGCGCTCGGCAATGCAGAGCGTCACGTTCGTGGGCCAATTCTTCGGAGCGCTGATAATTGGAAGATTGGCCGATCAGTACGGGAGAAGATACATGCTCAATGTATCCTCGGTGTGCATGTTCATTTTCGCCGTGCTCGGCTCGTTCAGCCCGACGGTACACATCTTCAACATGTTGAGATTCGTACAGGCGGTTGCGGTTTCCGGACTCCAAACCACGTCCGCGGCGTTATTCACTGAAATATCGCTTCCTCGGGATCGGAATCTCTTGAACATAGGGTTTTCGCTCGGCTTCACCGTCCCTATGATCCTGTTACCATTTCTCGCCTATGGGCTGGACAACTGGCGCGCCGTTCAAGCTGCGGCCGGACTGTCCACGATTCTTATGCTGCCGGTGCTCGTGGTTCTGGAGGAATCGCCCCGATGGCTACTCTCGAAAGGGAGGATATCCGACGCTAAATCGGCCCTAACGAAGATATTCCGGATGAATAGACGCCAGGTGCCGGATTTGGAAGCGATGGTCCCCGCGCTGCTCAGTAAAGTTCAAGCGGACAGTGCGACGGGAGAAAACGCGGGTCTGAAGGAAATCTGGAAACATCGAAATCTCCGCAAAAATGTTCTATTCCTGTTCGCTTTCTGGTTCTTAGAGAATTTGTTCTACTTCTCGAACGCCTTCCTAGCCACTCGATTGGGAGGAAGTCGCTTCGTCAGTTTCTCAGTCTCAGCTGCGGCAGAAATTCCCGGTGGACTCCTCAGTATCTACATCATCCGTCACATGGCTCGTCGGAAATCCCTCTTCATTCTACTGATCTTAGCTGCCTTGGCCGCTTCCCTTCTCGCTGTGCTATCTCCAGAACTTTTTGTCCTCCGTCTAGGACTCAACATGACGTGCAGATTCCTGCTGGTCATGACCACCGCTATAAAATGGGTTTACACCTTCGAGGTTCTTCCGACACAGGCACGGAGTTTCGGTTTCGCATGCTGCTACTGTTTCGGCCGAGTGGGGGGTATGATAGCGCCTTTCATGAGAGACTTGTTCCGGTGGAAACCTCCTGTGCCTTTCGCTATCCTAGGCACTTGTGCAATCTTGGCGGCTCTCATACTGAAGTTCCTTCCGGAAACACTGAATGTGGACCTGCCCGATAGTTTCTCGGAGTCTGACAAGCTGGGAGAGAAGGAGAAGAATGAGAAGTCGCTTGCGAATCATTGATAGACGAGGAACCCCAAAAACTCTGACTCATGCCTTCTCAGAATTGGTGAGAACATTTCCACCGGGGTCTTATACATTGCGAGCGTAGGGAACGAGGCCATCGTGGGAGGAGGAACGCTGTCTTTATTGGGGTTGGAGCGCATGTATATTTCTAGAATAAATCGTGAGAATGATTCAGATCCCAAGGGCCTTGTCGCTAAGAGTCGTACTAATCCATTGAGCCACATCAGTTGGTAGATTCGCATTATTTCTGGCAGCTTCACTGACGAATTGTGCGCAGAAATGTAAATGGTGGAGTCGGTATCGCTTCTGGCTGACAAGTGAACCTCCGACGGGTTGGGCTAGTTCAAGATTGCACAAACTCTCGAACGATTTGAATACTATGTTTTTCGGATGGCTGAGCGAAGATTTCGTACTGCGTACGAATCGCATATATTCTTTATACAACAATTCGAAATTGAATGGTTCCCCGTCGTAGATAGCGCTCAGTCGCAGCATGCAGACCAAGAGGACCATTTGCAGAGCGGGTATGCTCGAACTGACCACTAGTTTCGGATCGTAAGCAGTAAAACGCGAAACGGTTTTCGCGAAGATGCTCGGCTCTAAGCGGTGGTCCGGACCGAGTCGCCGCACCATCTGTTGTAGGGAGTCCACCAAGGTTCTGAGCGTGTTGTCGATCTCGTTTAGTTGTACGAGCGCGTTCTTCATTTGCGGAATGACCCGCTCCGCTATATCGGCGTTCCACTCATTGGCAGTCTTCTTTGAGAATCTATCCGTGTCCATCGACAAGAGTATACCAGCGGTCTCGACGTAAGTGTCGCTGTCGAAATTATTCGACAGCTGGAGAAAACGGTGAGCGAAACGTGACTTCACGCGTTTCTCGAGCAGCTCCACCGTGTCGAGTCTCGAACACAATCCCACAACCGCGATGGGTGCTTGTTGGCTCTGTGCCACGTCGAATAGATTGTAGAGAAGGGTTTGGCTCTTGTGCTGAGTGAATTTTTCGAAATTATCCAAAATGAACAGTGAAGATTTCGATTTCTTCCTGTCTACACCACTCTTCAAAGAATCTAGGAGGAACTGAAAATTCTCGGCGAAACTTCCGAAAACCCGCTCCCCGACGACGTTCTCGAGCTGTAGCTGCCTCGTTATGTCTTTAAGGGCGCAGCGATCGTCGGTATGGACGACTCCATCTAGTTCCACGACGGAATAGTTTCCTGGAAATCAAGGCGGACTCTCTTCACACTGTTTCAATCCTCCACTCCTCTCCTGAGGGCTTTGATGCTCTCTGTCAAGACTCAAAACGTACCTCTGGTGCCGGATTCTTTATCCAAGAGCTTCAGCGCTGCTCTGACTAGAACAGACTTTCCAGAACCTCTCGGGCCCATGACGAGCATCGAGTTGCTCTCTGAATTCAGAACACATCTCAAGAACAATCCTCTGAGATTTTCCAGGACTTCTGGATACAGGCGTTCGATCGCGGAAGCATCCTCACTGAGCGGTGAAAGCTTCCGGGTGAAGTATTCGATGATGTCCACTCGAGAAGATGAGGCTACCATCTCCAGAACTTGACCTCGCAACTGGGAAACCCTCTTGAAGTTCCCGTTGAGTACCGTGCAGATCGTTAATCGGCACTATCGCGCTTCGCTCGGTTTGAGCGCCAACAGGTGTTAGCAGACGCATCGTTTTGAATTTGGCGGGCTTATAAGATTCAGGAGAAGTATTTTTCAAAGCTCAGGATTCTCGAGACTTTCTTCTCTGCGAGTGTCAACGTTCGTCTCCAACAGCTAGAGAATTGAGATGTCATGGTAGGGCATAAGAAAGCAACGGTGCAATCTCTGTGCGGCGACGCGAACACGTATTGATGCAGTATTTCGCTGTTTGTCAACACCATGCCTCTCGCTCCTTCACTTCTCTGACGGGTTCCGACTGTCAGGAATCGATCCTTGTCAGCGTTCCTCCTTTGCTCAACCATTCGGGTGAGTTTCAAAAGTACAGTCAGAGTAGTGTTCCGAATCGTGGCGTTGAGCTGTGGTGACTCGTGCCTGTTGTGAAACTCTGGAGAAGATATCCTCGGTGGGAAACCGCATGCATGATTATTCCAGTGGCGCCGAATCAGAGAAGAACTTTCTACTTCCTATCTACCACGCCTGGAACGCCTACCGATATCGTGAACCCTAGTGGATACTCGTGGACCAGGCTCATCTGGTGTCCCATATGTATGCAAAGTGTCCGCTGATTTCTCAGTTCCGATAGGGAAATCCAAGGTTTTCGATTATTGCACCTTGCCGAACTCGCGGAACGCCTTCATTCTGACAAAGAGCCTTTGTACTTCACTTTGAGATCGATGACTGATAGCATCAACTATTTGCAGGATGGGCCCAGAAGACTTGACAGGGGTGTTGGTGACTTCCATATGCGAAAAAATTCCGTCATCGTTAGCCTCATTGCTGGAGGCGAATGATGCACCCGTGCAACATCATCCTTTGCTACAAGCGTATCCTCTACACGTGAAAACGAAATATTTCACCGCAGATATCCATCTGTTCGCGTGCAAGGACCCAACTGATCTCAGTGATGACGAGCTCTCGCAATTCGAAGCATTGATAGTCTTGTTCGACGCGAACTGTGATAATTTTAAAGAAAACGCTGAGCAGTTGGAGCAGCTGCGGAATCGATGCAAAAACTCCGAGATCAATCTTGCAGTATGCGAGTTGTGCGAAAATGAGGCTATCAAGAGAATATTCAAGGAACGTCTCTCGGAGTTCGAGCTCATCGAGACCGAGGCAGAGGATCAAGACGAGTGCGGAATCGATCGGATGAAGGAGGCGCTCCGAATGCATACCTGGTCGAATCTCATCATGCATGATCGAGAAAGGCTCCCACCTAACTCCAGAATACCGGAACATCTGATCACGGGTGGAACAGTGCCACTGCAAGAGTCCGCCGGATCCTCTAATCCAGCCGAAATACCGGACGACGCTAATCCGCCAGTCGATCCCGAAGCAGACATCTCTTTCGAAGAGGTCTTCGCCAAGTTCGCCTCCTTCAAGAGCAGAGCGTTAACTCTTGAAGGAGACGAGAGGAGGAAATTTGCCGAACAGGTCGTCACGCAATTCTGGAAGGCAATGGGTCAGGACGATTCGGAACTGGCCGGGCTCGATAGCGACAGCGAGTAATGGAGCATTTTGTGAAAGTGATCAAAATTCCTCACATGTTATTGTTGTACACGCCTCCAGGGTCGATCACCCGACTCAATCCGTGGGACAGAGGGAGAGGGAATTGCTCCACGAATATGTCCCGATCAGATCTCATTGACGAGACCGCTCGTAAATGCGGCGTGAGAGTCGTCTGAAGGAGATTCGCCCATCGTACTGGAGCTCATCTCATCACTCCATCACATTACGATCGAAGAGGAGCATCAGCCGAGGAGGAGGGCGAGCACATCCCGAACTGATGAAGCTCGGATGAATTAAAAACCTGCCCCCCTTGATCAACATTCTAGGTGCAATAAATGTCCTGACGAGCGAGCGGCAGAGTGTCGCTCGATTGACAGGAAGAATGCGAGAGAAATTCTATGTTTCCGTGTGATTGTCGTGCGACTCGATGTTCGTCTTCATCCGCTTCTGATTGATTAGACTGGGAATGGATGGCGCATGGGAAGCTGAAATGCTGGAATTCGATGAGTGGCGTATCTCTCCCGATACTCGGGCTCTTTCTGAGGGACGATTGTCTCCATCGGGACACTCGTGTGTGGAGGAAATGTTCGAAACTCTTCGGAATTTCGTAATCAAGCGTCACTTTCAGGTCAGACAAGAGAGATAATCCCGTCTCACTCCCAGATACCTACGTGTGTATGTTTGGGGGAAATCGGGAGATCTATCCTTTTGCGGGCGGAGAGGCGGTGGGCGCACGATCGTGCGACACAGCCGGCTCAGTCAAAAATCCATGTGGCATCTCCGACGGAGAGCCTTCCGAGTCCGACGAATAGGCTTAGAGTAAGGGTGTGCATGATCGACGATCCGGAGGTGTACGCTGACTGCGACGGCGAAGAGCGCCATTCGCGCATCAATGCCGGAATTGCAGAGGAGAGCCGAATTCCTAAAGACCTCCAAGTGCTGCCGATCCGCGCGCGTGTGGCGGTCCCCGTGCATGTGTTTTGCTCTCGAGGGATGTAAACAAAGATTGTCACTCGTTCCTTCTTCGGAGGAACACTCGGGAAACTCTGATTCGAGAAGGAATCGCAGGTCTTGCATTCCAAGAAGAGAAGTCATTCTTCCAGGCTCGCCCAAGCAACCCATGATGCCGCCCAACGTTAACGTGAGAGTTCGCAGCGGAAGCATCGAATCCACCGAAAGTTTCGTTCACGTTGAACAGCAAGAACATCACGTCGATCTCCGAATCCCGACAGATCACGAAATCAAGAATCTCGAGTACATTTATCTGCACGTCGAGGAGCCCCGGTGGCAATCCAAGGAGGACGTTCAACCGCATATTGAAGCTGCTATGGAAATCATGTTCGGCGAACTTGGAAAAGTCGTTCCGATTCAAGTGGTTCGAGTTCAAGACGGACACGCGTTCCTACGTGTTCCGCTGAGGTTCGCTGTCTCGCTGAGATGTGCTCTCACCGTATGTGCCCTCAACATAAAGATACACAAGTTGTGCAGCTCCCCTCATACCTTATGTGTAGATAGTGAGCGGTTTGTTCATCAGTGACGTCGTCGTTACGAGTTGATTTATTGAATATTTGTACATAGAGACCCGTGTCTCACCGCATTAAAGTTTTTGTCGAGGTTGAGAAGACTCTAGTATTCCATCATCTCTCGTGTACTCATTCCTAACGTCACGTCCTCGAGGAAATCCTTAAGATCCGGAAAACAAGCATCGATGCAAGGTCTGGCCTGATGTGTCATCAATCATCAACCATCGGTTTCGTAGATACATCATTTCCATTGCAACCGGAGATGAAGCCCGTGATTGTGATTGGGGTCTCGCAGGAACCCCGCTTCATTACGGAAAAACAACTCGATTCTGACATGGGAGTGAAACAAGGTGCGAGCGACACCGTACGACGGCAGCCGTGAACGGCCGTCCCATGCCGGTCTGAGCCGGTTGACGGGCCGGTCGGCTGTTTCGCCTTCTGGCTGACCGACCGATCGACCGGCCGGCCGTCAAACCGATCGTTCCGCTGCCGAAAGTTTGAATCGCTTCTCTCATTGCGGAATTAATCGGAGTGAAAAGCAATCGCGCGCGGAACCCTCCGAGGCCCTTCTCCAGAGTTGAAGAGTGGAGAGCATGTCGCATCTTAAAGACGTCTCTGTCATGAGGCGAAGAGCGAACAAAAGGGCGATCAGGCAGCAACCATTCAAGAGTCGCTGCGGGAGTGCTTTTCAGGACCTGCCGGGCGCTCGTCCTTCCACGGTGTTCCCGGAAACTTGCGATTCTACAAGCAAATCGCAGCATAGGTTCGTGCCCGCCCCAATGCTTTTCGCGCTGTCGAACTCGTCTCTAGCACTCCTAGAAACCCTAAACAAACCTTTTATCTCGTTGCTTTCTTCTATCAAATGACAACTTGCGACCGAGTGGCAGTCAGCTGGATTTCGCGCACAGTACGGGCGGAATCTTTGAAGTCCATAAGGAATTTTCACCGCAAGAGATCTCGTGCTCACATTGTTCTCCTTGAGAATCGTGAAGCATCGACCGGCCGTAATACCTGGTGAAGTAGGCAGAGCTGAAACTGCGGGACGCTTCCGACAATTAAGAAGTTCATTGCGAAATGACAGATATGATACCAAGCTCTGCGAAAAGGATGGCGAGCTTCTACTCCGCGGTGAAGACTCCAATGATGCCCAAGGACGCTCTGAAGAACAAAGTCGCGCTTGTGACCGGCGGAGCAACAGGTAGGAATATTTTCCCTCGGGTGAAAATCAGACTGGAATCCCATCAGTACAGACCGTCCCATATCTTACCCACACCCTTTTCAGGCCTGGGAAAAGCTATGACGGAGATGTTCCTCAAATGTGGAGCTAGTGCTTGCATTATGAGCAGGAGTGAGGATACTCTCAAACAAGCAGCCGCGGAGCTCCAAGAGAAAACCGGCGGTAAGGTGAGTCGAAGTTGATCGGATCCTGAAGTTCCTCCACGATGGCTGATTCGATCGGTTCGCGCAGGGTCACTCCCAGAGCCGGGATGGACGAAGATTCCGGATATGATGATGCGCTTATTTCCAATCGCTTCCTTCTTCAGGTCGTGTACTATGCAGCCGATGTGCGCGATCCGACCAAAGTCTCGGATGCGGTCTCCCATTGCGTCGCAGAGCTTGGTCTGCCAAATATCGTGGTGAACAACGCTGCGGGCAACTTCATCGCTCCCTCTGAGCGACTATCACCGAACGCCTTCAAAACGATCGTGGATATCGTTCTAATCGGCACGGCGAACGTGACTCTCGATGTGAGATGCCCCCCGGTTCAAATCCTGTGGAGCTGCATTGATTCTCCTCTTGCTATCCGACGTCAATGACGACCATCCTCGAACCGCAGGTGGGGAAAAGAACTGATCGCAGCGAAGCAGCCAGCTTCCTTCTTGGCTATCTCGGCCACGTACACAAACCACGGTTCTGGATACGTAGTACCGTCCGCCTCCGCCAAAAGCGGTGTGGAGACTCTGTATCAAAGTCTGGCCTCCGAATGGACCAAGTACGGCATGAGATTCAACGTCATCTCACCGGGTAAGAATGTGGAAGAATGTGCCGTTCATTCCCGTAGACTTGGACCGGATCCATGTCTTCATGCCGTCAGTCCTTCAAGATTGGACCACCTTCGCCTTGCAGGTGCGATTCCCACGAAGGGAGCCTTCAGTCGTCTCGATCCTGCCGGTCTCTTCAAAGAACAAATCGATCTACTAGGTCCTCCGAACTGGAGAACCGGTGAACCAGAGGAGTTGGCTAATCTCGCCACCTACGTCGTGAGCGATTTCGCGTCATGGCTCAACGGGGAAGTCATTCGGCTTGATGGCGGTATGATGAGCTACATTGCTGCCGAGTTCAACCAGCTCAGCAAGGTTAGTTCGAGTGACAAGCGCCTGTGATTTATTCATGCAAATCAGGCGTCATCGGCGCGGGACTATCAAGACATCTTCTGTCACAGGTCGATTCCGAACAATGGGATGCCATGGAGAAAATGATCCGCAGCACCAAAGGTTCTTGAGTTGGTATCGTCAGGTGCCGAGCCGAACTTTGGAGCGATCTTTATCGTAGCTGGATCACCATTGTGGAGACAAGTGGGCTTCGGAAACTCGGACCTCGATTAGGAGTATTGCTCGATTGCATGTAATTCCCTTTTTTTTCAAGAGTCCGGGGTCCGTGTGATCCCTGTGCCTTAAACCCTTGCCGGATCGTGTTTTATTCTCTTTCCATCGGAGCCTGGCATGACGCGGGGGGAGGGGGCGGGTGAAACCATTCGTCCTGAGGGAGGGAAGTAATTCGGCAGGGGCGCTGAGCCGGATTGAGCCGAGATCGGCCGGCCTGCTATCGAAAGATCTTTGCAATAATAATATACAGGTCGGACGTTTCGGATCGCGTATTCACTTATATACAGCTCGGGGATCGGAATGCCCGTCACTGGTGCAGAAGGGCAGAATCAAATGTCCGGAAAACTCGGACGAGGTACAAAAGAGATGATTTTTGCGGCTCTCCCGTGCGTCTTCGTCTGTGGAGCTTCCGTGAGAATCGACTACATGAACGCTAGTGAAGTATCCTGCCGCTAATGAGCTTGTCGTCATCCTCCGAGGATCGGAGCCGCGGCCTCGGTTTGGTTTACCTCGCTTCCCACGGCTGGAAGTCTCAAGCAAACGCTTCGTCACTATCAGGTGAGCGACTGACTAGATCCTTCAATCCGTAAATGAAGACACCGAAATTCACCACACTCTGCAAACAGAACCGTGATGAATTCGTGGACGCCAGGAGCCTTTTGCGAGTTCTGATCTCAGACACATGTACGTATGTATGTTAATGTTGTGAGTCCCGCTGAATTCTCGAAACCCAATGAGAATCAGCGAGGTCAGAATCGATGATGCTGAACTTCTCGAGCAAGGATTTCTTTCCCGGGTGAATATGCGGGGACTCTTGAGACCATCAAACTTAGCCTATTGTTCAAGAATTACAAAGCAGAGAACAATGTTTCGGTCATGGAATCGAATTGCGGCAGCAAGCCGTTGAGACTCACCCATGCCGCAAGTGGACAGAAAATGAACATGGTTCCCTGGCGGTAGCCAAACTCCTCGACGACAAAACTAGCGATTGGTGGTGTAACAATAGCGCTGCCGAAATAGATATCTTTAGTGAAATAGTAATCACTGGTCACAATGCATCTCCTTGTGTCGTGATCGGTGCTCGGGGGATCGGCCTGGGAGGAGGGGGGGGGGCAGCAGCTTCGTCTAACGACTTACCCGAGAACCATGAAAACAAACGTTGCACTCGCCACAACACCCGAAGTTTTGATGTTCTTTGGATATCCCGCCTTTCTGGAGAACGGAATGCATGGAAGCAGTAGGTATAATTCTGGGTTCATCGTGGACGCAACGACTGACACGAGCATGCCGAGCACTTACATCGATATCTTGAGGGCGTGGGCGAATCCGCATACGAACTGAGCGGCCATCCCGAATCCCGTGAAAATTTGCGACAGGTAGATGAAGCTCATGGAGCTAGTCGAGATGGAAAGAATAAGGGATATCTCTGAAGTTAGAAGTGCCCCTGGGAAGAATCCATGCGGAACGATGTTCCTGAGGCTTGCCCGCCTTCCTCCCGTCAACTCACGGTTCGTGGTTGATGAATGGGACGGGTCCGATGAGCAAGTACGCCAGAGCGGTACAGACCTGGCCGAGAAAGAGCAGGAACTCTTCGTGCTGTAATGAAATTGATCGGTCAGACGGAATCAGAATCGGCCGGTCGTGCCTCAAAGTCATCCCGCAGTTCCCAGGCAGGCTTATCGTCTTCATGCTCATCATGCACGAGGATATGTTCGGAGTCCTCTCGGGAGACCGCGAGAATCATCATGCTATTAGGATCGCATTGAATTCCCATCATGGTCGGTTTTCGGTCAGGTGATACTTTGGCATAATCGGTCGTCAGATTAGATACTTCGCTGAGCAACAAAATATTAGGAAGCTACTAAATTGCAGAGCTTGTTAGTTCTAACACCGATTCCTCGGCAGTGACGGAGGAGAGGAACATTTTACTCACAGATTGCTGTAAAATAAGAAAACGAGGACTTATTTCGCCGACCCATCGAGTTTCCGCCAATGACGCGAGGCAGGATGTCGCTTGTCAGAGATGAAATCTAAACTCAATTTTCGCGAACGATTTCGAGCGAGAGGAGAAAAATCGATTCGCCAAAATAGTCGATAGCTATGTGGTCAGCTGGGGCGATTCGTGTCCGAAAAAATCCAGATTCGCTTCAATCACGACTAAGCAAACATGGGCGGCGGAACTACTCAATAGGCATCACGGATTCGTTAGAGCTCGATTGCGAAACGATCGTCAGAGCCTGTCCTTGCGCCGTAATTCCAGTCTGTGAATTTTTCTCGACCGCACATCGTCTGTATCGATTGCCCATGAGTTCGGATAAACTCGTGTTCTGAGCTCTCGAGAAAGGCGGTAGATCGCGATTGACTCACCCCGAAAGACGAAACGAAGCCTGAGAGGAGAGCTCCACTCGCATAGCAAGCGTATTGCACGCAGAACACGATGCCGATACCTGAGTCTGTCAGACGGAACTGGGAAACAGATCAAGTTTTATCTCCCCGTTTCTTTTTGTCTGAATATTCTGCGATTGACCTCTCAGAAGCTCAATATCGGTGTAGCCTCGATAGATTAATTAATACCTGCCCGGACAGCCAGGTCTGAAGCGTCGGTTCGTTGAAGCTCATGACAATCCAAGAGAACATCACTGTGATCATATCGATTATGAACAGTGGTTGGAGGATCATGTATTTGTATCTGACCGGCTGGTCAGGTTGCGACGAAATACTGGACATCACTGACACTCCACTCTGTCGGCCTAGAGATGTCGACGACGGTCTAGAGACTATTCCTTTTTGATCTGAAATCGGGATTCACAAGATTTCAGCTCCAGATCGGAACAATGCGATGGAGTTCCGCGGTCGAAATTTCAATTCCGAGTGTTCCTCGATTGGGTCTCTCATACTCTTTGAAGGTTGCAGCGGACCATTCCGTATAATCGTTGGAATGAGCAGAATCATGATGACGCCGAGCGCAAAGAATGGGAAAGGAAATCCCCAGAACTGGAATTCATCGGGGAAATTATCAGAACGAGTTGGAATCCTTTCGTGTTCATCGGATCCCTGCGGCTGCATCCAAGCTCCATTTTCTAGCAATGCACGATCGAGCTCCGCATTCCGTTAGCGAGATTAATGGGGATCTATCGTCGAACAGAAGAGCGTAGGATTCGGGAGCGAGATCTTAGGTGGGAGCCCGCGTGATGCTGCTGCTGTCAGAGCTCGTCGTAAATCCTTCCTCTCCTTCACCCGCGTCAATACCAACAATGGAACAAGCTCAATTGCAGGCGTGACTGATAGGAAGCGTGGAAAGGCGACTACCGATTTTTTCAGATATCTATCGGGTCGGGCAGTTCCGTCTTGGTCTCTCGCTTCCGAGCACAGGACAACCGGTAAGATTGTTACGGAGTAAGGAGAGAGCGGCGGTTACGGGGCTACTCACTTCGATTAGGAAGCCTCCAGCCATTGTCCCTACCATGTTCCCGATTCCCCACAGGAATTCCATTGAAGCCTGCGAGATAAAGGCAGACCTGAATAGATGGAATAAGCTCCTGTAAGCTCTATCGGAGAGAATGCAAATCGATACATTGGTCGCTTACGATTATCAATCCAGGCTTTTCACTGAATCGTTCAGTCACCATTGAGTACATCGACACCGAATACGAGCACGCCAAGAAGCCTCCAGCAATAGCCAGCGGGAACGCGAGCCCCAAAAATATATCCGGATCGCCCACCCAATACAAAGATCTGGAAGGCATAATGACCTTAATGACCGGGTGGAAGCTTAAGAGCCGTCAAGTTCGAATCTTCTCTGTGGCAATTCTGCACGTGCGACATCTTCGGTTCGACTCGCAGGGAAGGCTCCGGAAGGGGACATTGTTCCCCCAAACTTTCCTGGAGTTAAGGTCCCTCAACAATAAGTGAAGAGGCTCACCCGATAGACACATCGAAGATGAAGGTTCCTACTAGTCCAGCTACGTAGAGTGGCACCGGTCCGAATCTGTCTATCTGGAACAGTGGAATAGCCGAAAATTATTCGAAATGGGAGCATGTGCCCTGCCGAGAGATCGGTCCATTGTCGATCTAATCAACTCCCAACTCACCAATTTCTCGGAACTGAAGGATCCGATGAACATGAAAAGTTTGAACACGGAAAATATGAAGCCGCAAGTAGTCTGTCGGATACCTCTTTTTTGAGCCTGCAGAGGGAGAACTTCGTGATCTCTTTCTGGAGATGGATCGAGAAACGGTCTGCATGCTTCGCGACTTGTTTTCTGCGCATTTTTGCTGCATATTCCTGATGGCCTTCGTCCAGAGCGTAACCCCAGCAGAGTATTCCATGAAGATTTTTTTCCGTCATCTTCACGAAGCCTCTTAGGCACTCCACCCGATCAAATCATTTTCGAAACGAATCCCAGAAGATTTTAAGCCGACAGTGCCCTTGGCACCATAGGGGACCCCACGTATTTGGAACGCTCTTCGTTAAGGAACGCTCTCCGGCAATTTTTGTTGGAAAAAAGAGTCTCGGCATTTTTTCGGGGTGTCCGCATGGGATCTAAGCCGATGTCGATATCGAGGATTGTCGGTGGTATATGGTATATCCCAGTGATATCAGCTCCAGCGGGTCATAGATATCCCAGATATCGCAAAAAGAGGAAAAGAGTTGAGCCTTCTTCCTGGGTAGCGCTTCTCGGATTCCAGAGAACTACTACTCGACCGATTATTAAAAAATCAGAGAGCTCGGACACCAAGTGCTGAGCATGAGATATCCGACATGAAGGTTTCTCTCCCACCGCTTATTGGTGTCGGCGACGATGTTCGAACGGTCTTGATCGCATTAAAAACATCTCCACCATTGCGAGCCAAGCACATCCAATAATAAGACCACAACTGTCATGAGTACAGACGCTAGAAAGTATTGTACTGGAACAAATGTCTCGTTCAATGGAGGTCTCGCGAAAAAACGAGGACTGCTTTTTCAAAATATCGACACTATCGGAGATGGTGAGCTCCGAAGCCACCGTTGAAATCAGATACCCTAGCACTCGCTTCCGATACAATGTTTCTCACCAGATTCGGGAAGAACGGAGCCATTAGGGAAAAGCACGCGGAGAACCAAAACTGTGAGTGAAGTACTGGTATGAGCCATTTTTTCCGCCACATGAACTTCGCTCCCTGTTGGAGCGAAACGAGCGATCCTGACACAAGGTTTGATCGCCGGGAATTCGAAGAGACAGCCGAGAAACCCGATGTTGTGGAGTCGAGGGGACCCCGCCGCGGAGCTTCATCGGAGACCTTCATGGCGATGGCGGCTACAGGTGGCCTTCGTTGTGTGTCTGAGCGAGCCTAGTCGAGCGTAGGCCGCGGAGAGAGATTACGGACTTCTCCTTGCCTGCCGCGACGTCTCTCTGGAAGCAGCGGAGTGAGATTGAAGAGCACTTTGAGCTAATGCAGTCAGTACTGCGGAAGCTACAATTATTTTGCGGACAGCCCTCAGACCCGCAAAAAAATCGTGCGATCGAGCGGCTGTAGGTCTCGAGATGGGCTTCTACTCTAACTCGGTCTCCGATTCTTCGCACGGATTGATTCGGATAAATCAAATTTGGCGCATAAGACACAGTCCGCTTCAGATCAAGCATTTTTCTCGGTGCGAACGTAAGTCCGCAGAGCTCGTTCAAGATGTGGTAGAGAAGTCACTGTGGGCGACACCGCGAGAACTGATTTATTAATTATCGATTCCCACAACGCCTCCTGAATTGGCCTCCTGAGCGAATCAAGGGATGATCGAATGATCAGCCGTTCAGCCTTGCAGAGTACCCAATCTGAGTTTGGCGACGCTATTCACGGAATCTGTTTCTTCTGGGGGTCTCCCCTCACGGCTGCGTGTCAAGGGAGGCTGGGCATAAGGAGAGCACCCCCCTCGGCGAACCCGGAAAGTGACATCATCTGATGAGCATCGGCAGCTCTACCGCATGGAGAGCACTCTATGGTCGTCATGAAGAATGTGTCACGCTGGTGAACAACTACGATTCCCGATGTTTACCGCTGCTCGCTCTTGATCTGCTTTGCGGATCAGACCTAATCACGATCACCCGTCTGTCGTCGGCGAGAACATTGTAGCGCAGCGTCGAACGTCACCAAACTGACTGAGTCCGACTGTGAGGTCGGAGGTCCACTCTAATCGCAAAATACTATGCGACGAATCTTCCGGGTGATCGGCGAGGTCTGCGATAGCCAGAGTCAGAGCTCCCACGCCTATCTGGAGGCTCACCAATGCGGAGGTTCTGAGCCGGAGTTCTACGCGGGATTTCGATTACTGGGGGAGTTGTTCTACCGAACAGGTCCAAGTTGTCACGTGGCTTCGCTATCTCGCCGGAATTCTTTTGCTCAGGTCGGAGGTTCCTCTCCATAATGAGTCGGCAGATTCATGCGGGAAGCGAGAACAGTCTGAGGGAATCCGTCATTGAGCTCAGGGAAAAAGAAACAAATAGCTCCGATCGAGCGTACCCGTACGCGATCATCGCGTTGAGTTTCGGTTCGATCGAGTAACGTGACGTCGCGTCGCACTCCGAGAGAACACGTATATAGAACTGCTTTGTGGCGCAAGAGCATTCTTCCTCGTGAAGTGACTCATGCTACCTGTTCGACAGCCCTTGACAGGCCGGATGGAGTCGGACCAATTCTCGCTCGCCTCCGTGTGCGTTGAATTTGCATTCTGGTTTGTGTATGGGAATTTTGAGACTGTGTAAACACCGGTGTGCTCACTGAAGGTCAGCGAGAGCTCGGCTGCCGGAAGAGTAATAGAAGACGAGCGAGAACTCAATTTAATTCTGCGGAATGGAATTCTTCAAGAATGCAAACTATTCCAATCCATTCAGTTTAGCCAATTACAGCGATAAGGGTGGCCGTCAAAGCAAGCCGACGCTCCGGTCCGTGCAATGCTTCAACGACCGTTTTCAGCTCCGCGGAAGGCTTCCCAGAAACATCGGCATCCATCTGGTTCGGAGGCCAATATTCGCGGAATCTTCGTCCAAGGGAACTCTCCCGATAAGTCCCGAGAACCGCGTCTACGGAGACCGGAAATACCAGCTTGGTGCCCCGCCCAATACGAACCTGCGTATAGCGATCCGGCTCAACTCGGACACGGTCGCAGAGATGGATTATACCGCGGAAAAGGAAATGCGAGAGAGAGTTTGGATGGAATTTGTTTATTCATGAAAATTGCCTGTTGCCTCCTGGAATGGGAGAGCTCGTTGACAGACGAGCATATCCGTTGCGAACGACGCATAAGTCGACCTGGGGCGGCTCTTTCGGAAATTGCCCACAATGGATTTCTGAACTCGCCAATTTGAGCGCTGGATGGTGAAGTTCTCCCTCGCTACTCAGATACCTGGAAACGATCAGATGGGAAGGTGCACCTATGGCTCTTACAGCCTTGCAATCTAAGCGGCTCAGCACTGAACCCATTGGGCTGAAGTCTCATCCATCAGAGCAGCGTTGTGAAAATGGCCGGCAAAAATGGAAATCTCCGCTCATCTGGAGCGGACCAGGCCGACGATCAGCCGGTCTTCTGCCAATACAGGGTGCCGGCCGGAGACAACAGTCTGGGACGCCGCGTCTCTGACTGACTGAAACGATGTCTCCGCGCAAATGACAACCGCGTTCGATCAATCGGTTCCGATCTGCGCAATCGATTCGGATACAGACGATCACGGAGAGCGAGAGCGACTCGTTCCGTGAGGAATGTAGGCGTGAATTCTCAGGGTAGCCCTTCCGGGGCATCAACGTGCCGTCCTGGGTGTGAGATCAAGGGCGAAGAAGTGCCCTCGCTCGTGGGTTGCTCCAGAGCTGAAGCTAGGGAGAACCTCCACTGAGGCTTACAATCATGCGGTATGAGTCTCCGTACGTATGGTACACCCAATGAGAGCTCTCGGCAAAGGCTTCCCTTCCGATGGAAAATCGGATATGGCGAGGCGACGAACTCGTCGAATCCATATTCATGGATATGGCTACATCCATAAAAATAATCATTTAAAAAAATGAGTATTGGAAATAAATATACATTATATGATGTCCATGCTCCACGGAAGCTGTATTCCGTATCTCGACGCCGACAATTTTCGATCGTCAAAGGTCGACTTTTCCGACACAATTCGTTCGGAGTCGGCTCGAGAATATCGTTGGAATGAGCGTATAGGGATCAGATCTAATCGCATGATGAGCATGAGCTCACGGCTGGAGAGCGCTGCCGGAGCGGGCGTCTCCCGGGCGGTCGCGGACTCAGAAAGCGCGCCTCCGTTAGATTTTCTGTTATGATTAGTGTCAGACCCTTACATTAACAACAGAACAACAATAATTAGTCTCGCCATCGAGAGTCGTGGGCTATCCGGCTATGACTCTCCTCTGAGGAGAAGGCTGGACGCGTAACCATGTAATTTATTCACGAATCCCCGGAAATTCATCTCTTGAATATGAATTGATTCATATTCATGAGTTCGTACGAGGGCTCCCTGACCACCACCACGTGCTATCGAGGCTCCACGCCAAGGGTCGCGTCAAGTAGCACAGCCGGCGGGGCATCTCCAGTCTCATCTTCAGTGCCCGGTGTGAAATCGGGTCGCAACTCTGCTCTCTACTTTACCGCGTGTTGTTCCCCTCAAATCCAATAAGTGATGATTGAGGACCTTAAAGTGCCTCAGAGCCTGCCGAAATGAGACTCAGTAGCATTCTTGTGGGAACCCAAGCGAAACGCTCAGCTCTCCCGAATGATAGAACCTACGAGACCCCCACTACCTCCGAGTGGGGACTCGTCTATGTCTCTCCGACTGAGAGACATAGTTCGTGAAGTTTTTCGAGGACATTCCACCCTCTACTGCGCAGGAGAACGATCATTTATTCAAGAGAGTGCGTTTCCGAAATGATTATTGATTACAAATCCATTCGCTCTGAGGGAGTCCGAAGGGCTTCTCCTTCGGAGTTGGAGCCGCATTATGAGTCGCCGTAATAACCCTGTGAGGGTGACTGAATGAAGCGGCAGAAGACTACGCTCCGATTCTCTTCGATGTCTCAATCTTTCACTTCATTCGATTCATCTTTCTCGGCTCCTTCTTCTCCAAGCGCAGGTTCTGAATTCTGAGTCGAGGACTCTCCTTCGGTCCCAAGTCGAAGCTTCGCTTGAAAGTCGGAGATCGTCGGTTGCTCCGTATTCGGCGAATCCGAGTCTGAATCCGAATCAGAGCATCGCGTATCACTGTCAGAGCCTAAGTGTCCGAAGGGATGATTCTCCATGAACTCTCTGATCTCGGCGGGGAAAGCGTTGAAATCTACGTTGTTCCCCTCAACACCGGGAATCTTCAGATGGAATAGTTCCTCAGCGGCCTGAAATGAAAGGTCTTCTGTCACTTCTAGAGAGCGCTCGTGACGGGGTCGGAAGCCGTTGACCAATCGTTTGCCGAATGGCTCCGAGCGATATGAGGTATATTTCGCTATCCTCAGCATCTTTGCGCTCCGAAGTTCGTCGTCGAGGCAGAATTTCCAGAAGACTCACCTCGGCGATGTCGCTCGGCTCTGGGAATCGCTCATTCCGTTTCGAGGCTGATACACAGCTTGCAGAGACTAATCGCATCACGTTGTTATGAATGTATTGGGTCAGACGAGCCTTGAGCTCTGGATTTAAGTTTTTTTTCTCCGCGAAGTACTCGATCATTGGAGCGAACGGGTCCTGTCTGCAACAATTTTTTCGTTTTCAATTGACCCTCTTTTTCCGTTCAGGAGAAATCTAACGTCCTCCCCCCACGCAATGAGCTGATCGAGACCTCTACCAGTGACACTGTGTTCAGAAGACAGCAGCTCCAGGGACATCGAAATCGCCCCGGGAGCTCGAACCGCTGTCATCGAAGTTCGGTAGGCTGCTACCCCGAGTTCCTGATAGGCTTAATTTTTCGCATGCTCCGAGGATACAGACGGTCCCAGAAAAAAGGGATGATATGAGCTACCCGAAAAATCGGGTGAGGTATGGGCTTACGTATAACCCACCCTTCCGGGAAGAGATCATTCTCCGCTGGGTTTTCCTCTAGAATCGGTCGAGCAGGTCTGGAAAACCCTCTTTTTTTCGGGACTTCACGCGTGGATCTCTTCATCTGTTGAGGAATATTATCGGGGTAATCAACGCCAATATCAAGAAGTTATGCTCTGAAAGACGTGCAGGGTTTCCGAAGCTCACTCTTTGAACCTGGGGTGGTTTTGAGGATTTTCCAGGGAGGACGAATCAATGAAAATTTCGAATGCCTGTCGGGAGAAACATGAAGCACTATTGATGTTTTGTGGGTTACTGTCCTCACTTCACATTCACCAATGGCAAGATTCACACGGGGTTTCCCCGATTGGAGGCATCACCCGCGATGCCCATGGCGACTGAAGCGAAGCGCATCGCCAGGGGACAGTCACCGGTATGGAGTCAGCGTCTCATCTTAGACTCACGAGGTGACATCATGCTTCTCAAGCTCTCGGTATTCAATAAAGCTCTCAGCTTCCGGAAAATCTGCTTTTGCGACGTTGAAAAGAGGATCTGAGTGCCCCATTTCGACTCTAGCGTCTTCGATGCACCCGACCGGCGGCAAATTCTCAAGCGAATCATGTCAAGATGCAGTGGTCTGCCTCCGCTCTTTCGGACGAGCTTTTTAAGGAAGGTTCCATAGGAAGGAACGATGAGGAACTTCAATAGCCTTTCATCCATAAGCAGAAATTCCTTACCGCGAAACGCTTATCGGCCGTTCTTAGTCCCCTGGGCAGCTCGCAACAGCTTCAACCTGGCTTTTAGAGTCTCGACATCTGGATAGTCATTTTTAGGACAAGAACCGCCTTGCAAGTTGCAACGCGTTCCCGCCTGAGAGAGAGTCAAAACAGCCCCAATGCGGCGAGTGGCGCGCGAATACGAAACCAGACGTTGAGCTTCGACGTCCAGCCAGCCTGTAAAAGTGACCGCGTTCCGGGAGGATGCGCTCTTCATAGACGGGTCTGACGAGGTATCTTGCAAGCCCGCGCCGGCCGAGCATCCGCTCGGGGCGCTCGATTTGATGCTTCCCGCGTAATTGATTCGCAAACTCGGATTGCCTGTGACGCCCCTGAAATTCTTCGGGCGTAGGTTCTCGAGCTCTGGGGGGCATGGGAATTCTTCTCCATTATCAATTCACGATCGTGACGGCGAATGAATACTCCTTACGTTCATCTCTCCACTCGTCGAGTTGTTTCCGTGACCGCTAACGCCACATGCAGATTCGCTTGGACGGAAGGAGGTGGCTCGATGCAACAGCCTAAACAGCTCCTCCGTTCCCGAAGGTGCGACGTGCCTCATAGTGACGATGGTGCTCTTCGGTGAGACCCTGACGTACTGAGTGTCAGGTCGAAAGAACTGACACTGAGGATGAGTGCGAAGCTTGGCTGCAAGGGGAGACGGAACAGAGGAAATAGGCAAATCGGATAGTGCAGCGATGCAGCCTTTGTCGCAGCGGCTGCGAGAAACTCCGAGCTCAAACGTCTTGCCCACACTCAGTTCCCGTCGAGCCGCGCAATATTTTCGCGGTGGAATGAACACTCGCAGGTCATGGATGTTCTCCGAGAGAGGAATCTGTGAAACGGGAAATCAACTGAGCGCGCGGCGAGATTCCCCAAGCGCTTACATCTCTGAGTGACCGAGCCACTGTAGTCTTGCCCAAAAGTTCAGTCACTTGAGGATGCGGCACAGGAAGCTAAGAGCTATTTCAGGAAGCTAAGAGAGTCGGGCAGAAGGAAGGGTACCGCATCCGCGTCCTCGGCCGAGAAACAGCGCCGGCTCGTTCAGCTTCGTGGCGAGCGATTCTGTGCACGGGTCTTCTAGTTCAGCCCCGAATCCAAATATGCAGGTCCTCGTCATTCTGGCCGACCGTAGGAGATGGGCTTTGCGCTCTGCCAACCCTCTTTTGCGACCGAATCGGAAGTCTCGTCAAGTGATTGATCCGGTCAGTCTAGCCATCCCGGCGCTAGATCCCGGCTCGACCACCATGGAATTCGGAATGGCTATGATTAGGGCTTTCGCTGCGGTTTCCTCAACTGACACAATTCACTATTGCCCATTGCAATTGTTGGAAAACAGAAAGAAAAAAAGATCGCAGGCGTATCTTAGGCCGTGACCGAAGAGTGAATTTCCGTAGGACTGCGTAAAAGCAATTTCATCGGTAACTTGGTGATTTTTTCGAATTAAAAAAAATGAGATACATATGAATGAATGGCGATAGCCAAGGCGCTCGCTCGAAATCTCTCTACTAGGGAGCCAGGCCACGCGGCAGACGCGTGAAAGCTTATAAATGCCCTCAGGTGAAGATGTATCGAACTATACAATCAACCGTTCAGAACCTTACGGTATTATCGATTGATTCGATTTTATCGAGCGTCGAGTAGTTACGAAAACACCGCATAAAAGGCTGTGGTTCGAAATGTGGTACGAAATTCGCAACATGAGCAGGGGACCGCAATAGTGCCGCACTGTGTCAGGTGATTGGTTTTCCGTGTGTCTTTGAGGAAAACGTGACTGAATTTGGACCCGGTCCATAAGGAAGCGTGGATCTTCATTGTAGTCTATACCGAAGGAGGACGAGACCGAATCATAGTTTTCTTCTGGGGAAGGACGGTCGTAAAATTTCGAAACTATTGACCATGTACCACTTCCGTTGCATTTGTTTACTTTCGGAAGGAGAAGGGGTCTATAGAAAGTGCGACATAGGACGCAGTCCTACGTCAAAAGTCATCGTCGTCGAACCCCGCCGATCGATACGACGCGCTTCCCGATTCCTCGCTCTAGGCTCGAACGATTCCGGTAATCGCCTTCACGAGAGACAATTTCCGGGACAAAACAAGGATGGCTCTTCGGAGAATCCTACGGGAAGACTTGAAAGCCGGTAAGTTCACGTCGAGACGAACAATATGACCCATGAGACTTCTCCTCGAATATGCAGCTGTTTCCGAGATAATTTCGAAAAACGAGAAAACGCTCGCGGAGTATAAGTTCTTTTCTGAGGGGCGACCGGACTTGGAAAAAAATTGACACGGGTCGGTTCCCGGATTCGGGGGAAAGGCCCATGGGCAGTGGCGGATCCAGGGGGGGGGCCAGGGGGCCATGGCCCCCCCCAAGAATCTTCGATCCCTATACAAAAGCATGGGCCGCGAGGTGGCGCGTCATCATTTTCGGCTCTTTCCCCCCTGAAAATATGACTTGGCCACCCCCAAGAAAAAAAGCTGGATCCGCTCCTGCCATGGGCAATATTGTTCGTCTGGTCGAGACCTTCAATAAAGCTCAATATGTTTTCCCCCGATATCGAGCCGTTTCCGAGAAAATGGAGCCGTAGTAAGAAAACTACGGCCCGTATTCTACGGCCGTAAACTACGGGTCGTAGTGCCGTAGTTACGGGATGCATACACCGAATGGAGATATCACCCTGAGGTGTAAGAAGTGGAGACCGAAAGTACGACAAAGATTCCCACATCAACCTTCGATCACGTCCTTCGCATGTGCACGGGAGGAGAGCCTCTCGCATCACGACGAATGTGCGAAAAGCAGGGGTGAAGTCACAGGAAAACACGACCAATGTGCAATGCTATTCTCCGCGCATTCTGTCGCTTGCGGGCGGACGAGGCACACGTCGCGAGCGCAGCCCTCGAGTGTGATGAGTAAGTTGATCCTTGGTCCTTGGTCATCGATTTTTGACAAGGAGACCAACGATCTCCGGCGTCAAGACTGCCTCTACCTACAAGGAAAAAACAGGTACGGGGTTTTCATCGTCCAACGCTTAGGAAGCTGTCTGGTAGAGCCGGGAACAGGGTGGGGTAGAGAAGTATACAAAGCAGTATGCCGAGAAACCTCGGAAACCGAGGGACTAGAGGCAGCTGTCCGCTGCGTAAACGTGGCATCAGAATGGGATGCTTGTAAAATCCATAAGATCCTACTCGGCCCCAGGGGGGAGTTGTACTTTGATAGCGTTGCTCGAATATTTCCCGAGTGCCTCTACCTACAAGGAAAAGACAGGTACGGGGTTTTCACCGTCCAAAGCTTAGGAAGCTGTCTGGTAGAGCCGGAAACAGGGTGGGGTAGAGAAGTATACAAAGCAGTATGCCGAGAACCAGCCGCCAACAAGATGCAGCCGCTGTCTGTCGAACCCCCACCTCCAGCGGAGCAAGGCCGATGTCAACAACTCTGGCAGTCAATAAGAGCCTCCGCGAAGCGGTGAGTTTTCTCGATTAAACCTTCCGATATTGTTGGAACGTCGCGCGTCGTTCGAGCGGGGAGGACAATGAATGCATGTTCGATGACGGATCTTCAATTGTTGGCTACGGGTAGTATAAGTCAGGCCTTCTACCCAACCGTCCCTAACTTGACGCCAGTAGCGGGGGACCTGAATTAGGCCGTGCCTGTTTACTTTCAAAGATTTCCCGGGTACTAGAAGAGTGCTTTCTACAACGATGAACTCGGTAGGCTTGACATTTTTTGGTCGCGACCCCTAATAAAGAGTTGGTGATTTCTATGCCATCCAAGGACGATGAGGACTGCAAAGTCACTTTTCGCGGGGCGCGTCGGACACCCACGTGAATTATTGCGGAGCCGTAGGATGCCGAGGTGACTCATTCCGGAGCGCATAGGATACCCAATTGACTTCACATCTTTTCATGAGATTAGACTCAGGTGCACACTAAATTGTCATAACGAGATATTTCCATGATCGACGACAGACCACCTCCATGAAAAAAAGTTCCCAAATACTTTGAAAATGTGGAGAAATAAGACGACCACAAACTTATTCCAGCCTCTCCTGGGTTACGGACCCTTCCTCCTCTGCATCTTGATAGTGATCATCGCGTTGTTCGCACCGAGAGGTGAGTGAAAACCGTATTTCGAGAGAACGAGCTCATGCTTGAAATATTATGCCCCTTTTCCCAGCGCAAAGTTGTCGTGGAAAGTATGCCATTAAGCTAAGGACAGATTCTTTTTCCTTCCCAGCCCAGGTCCACGGCTCGCGTGACGTGAAGCCGTCACTCCCCCCCCTCAACGGTCCCTAAAGAGGTAAGCGAGTCGATTGTTTTTCGAAAACCACTTCTTCTGTGAGTTCATACCGTTATATCCGCGAGAACAAAGAGCATAAAAAGGGGCAGGTACTGCGGAGCATCAGTCGAAACCGTGGTTAACTTATCGGGGCGGAGGAGCCGCATAGACATTTGAGAACTCTCATCGATCGTGTCTAGAATTGTATGTCATGGAGCTGACGGTTCGGGAAATCGGCTTCGGCTCTGTCGGTGATTCTCTTCAAACAGTATATCGGCTTTCTCGATAGGTTTCTCAAGCCTCCCTCGACAGCTGTCAAAGCTTCTATGAGCACCGGCAGAGCGAAGCTTCTATGAATAGCGGGGAAGGTCCTCAGTGCGCTCCATCCTCCTTATCGAACTCCAGAAACTAATGATCACACCTGAGTTCTGCCAGATCAGGTTATCCGACCCGCGGAAGGTTCCTGTCGGTGAGCTGGGAGCAGACTCTATCGGTTCGTCCACGGATGTCTTTATTTTGTTGTGACGTCACAGCTGCCGGTTAAAATACACGTAGAATTCTATTTGGTCATATCTGCGGTGGAGCTACGAGAAATCTTGAGAGAGTTCTGATCCGTGCTACGTGCGATTCTTTCTTGCCAGAGACGCACGGCGTCTCTAATCCAGTCTCTCGTAGTGCCGGAGAGTACCCGTCATCCAATCGATCAGCAGGAGTCTCGAACGTGAGTTTACTGTGAGCTCAACTCTGGAAGCCTCGAAGATTCGATGAGCAAAAAGTATTCTGTCTGAAGAAAACCTCAGCCGGT